ATGCGTGGACAACGAGGAGTGTGAGCTTCTCAATCCATTTTATAAATCTGGCAAAGCGATATTTGGGACGGAGTATGGAGGAAAGACCTCTGAGATATGCGACACTGGAGAAAGCAACCATATCATGATGAAATATAACTTTGGGAGTGGTTGGAAGAACTGCTTTAAAGGGGTAACTCCGCTGCCCGACACCATTTATGGTTCGGGTCAAGGTTCGTCCAGCTCCACCTCGGAGCCTAGTCCGACGACCCCAGGAGATGGACATGGGCTCGTACGTTTCAAAAATGGCCTGACATGGTCAAATAGGGCATGGGGCGATAATAATGAGAAGGATTCGGTGAGCGGGATGAAAGTTGTATTTGTGGATTTATTTGATGCTGAACAAAAACTCATCGATCAATATTTATATGATGGACATATTGTCGTTTGTTATTTTTCCGCTGGCACTATTGAACCCCGACGGGGTGATTATTTAAGTAATAAAGATAAATGGAACAATCTTAAAGTTAAAAAACTATCCGCCTATAATGAATATTATCTGGATATTACGAAATTGAATAAACTCCAGCCTCTTATAAGGTATATTATATATTTTATTTATCTTTTCTTTCATCAACGAGTGTATATTTAGCCCAAGGTTTAAATTAGCGAAAAGTCGTGGCTGTCAAGCGGTGTCTCCTGCTAACGTTGACTGCTTTGCTAATTCCTGTATTAATGGGGAAGACATCGATTCTTTACGCTCTTATCAGTTAAAGTATAATATTTGGTTGGCTTTAGAGGCTCACCAATTAGGTTCTTATAATCACATTAGTGTTCGCTTACTTCATAATTGTTTATAATTTAGGCTCCATTATAAATTTTATTTTCATAATTTCTTTTTTAACTAGGTCTTTCCATTGGTTTACTAAATGCTTTGGAACTTTCTAAGGATTTACAGCCTTATTACGATTTTGCTGTTAGTGAAGCATGCGTTGCCTACGGTGAATGTCGATTATTGCGACCTTTCATTGAAAATCACAAAACTGTTTTCGGCACCGAAACTGAAGGAGTCCCTGACGATATATGTGCAGTTAGTGAGACTTACGGAATAATGTTAAAATATAATTTCGGGCAAGGATGGAAAAATTGCTTTTCTGGTGTCACCCCACTTCCTGAAACTGTGTATGACACTGAGGAAGAACCAGTTTTCTCTAGTACTGCCCCTACTTCTACTTCCGTTGTTACCACCACACCAATGTCTTCTTGGGACACAACCTCATTACCTACTTTATTTCCCTCTTTAAGCACAACCGCCTCAACAACCTCTTCTTCATGGTCCTCGCCTTCATCTTCTACTTTCTCACTTTATCCGAGCTTAACCGTTTCACCGACTCCTACTTCGTGGCCGTCACCTTCTTTGCCTGTAAATATGATTCACTTCCCAGTTGGTCTTACCTGGGCATGCAACGCGTTTGGCTCTAAAGGTAAAGAAGACGCGAGTAGCGGAATGAAAGTTGTGGTTTTAGATTTGTTCAATGTCCCCCAAATTAAGATTGATAAATTAAAAGAAAATGGCCATATAATCGTTTGTAGCGTTTCTGTAGGCACAATTGATGTAAGTTTGTAGAATGTCATTATTCAGAAATTAAAATTTTTTACTGTATCACTATAGAATAGGTGGGTCGATTATCAAAATAATAAGTCAGCCTGGGACAGTGTCAAAGGGCTAAGACACGAAAGCTTGCAAGAAAGTTGGTGGATTGACATCACCAAGCTGTATGAAGTAAAGCCATTACTGAGGTACCTTAAAGTCCCTTGTTGCTAGCCATTTTTATTGTTAAAAAGCTTTACTCTTTTCAAGATCAATTTTTTAACTTTTTTTATATAATTTTTTCTTTATTAAACATAATTTACCTAACAAACTAAAATAAAAAGTATTTGTATATCTCAGAAGGATATTCTGTGTTCATGTAACTTTAGAAACTATCAAGCCAAAAAGGCTGGGTTGGGGCCTATGTATTTGTTTAAGAAGAAACGAAACATATGGGCATTCTTATTAGCTTTTAGTTGAGTTTCTTTCATTGTTAGCAGTATCTTTTGTTTATAATTCTCATTTAAATGTAATTTTTCATACTATAGAGTAAAAAATGAATAATTTTTATTTTATATGCTCTTTTTTTACAAAGTTTTAATTAAAGCTGTATAGATTAATGATAAAAATAATAATCTATTAATAAAATTTTAAATTTTTTTTTTTTAAAAAAGCTAGGAGTCACGCGTAATTTTTTAATTACCTTAAACGTTGTATCTCCTAACAGAAGTATAGCTAGAAATTATAATGATGGTGACGACATTTATCGAACTTAACGTTTTTTTTCTAAATCTATTTCCTCTAAGCACCAATTTAAAACGTTAAATATTTACGAGCAACAAAATATTTTTCCTTATCACTTTATTTAAAAAAACCTTACTTTGTTTATACTTTGAGCTAGGCTAATCGTTAGCTTCAATCATATAAATATAATAGCTTAAATAGTCTTTTCTCTATTTTACAAAAAATACTTAAATATATTGTATTATAGAAAAAGATTCGAAGTGGCAAAATTAAAGAGTTGTGACGCGATTCTACCCGATAATGTCGACTGTTACCAGAATAACTGCGTTGAAAATAAAGATGAATCCGAGTTGTTCTCCCATCAACTCGAGTTCAACAAGTGGCAGGCTACTACTATTCATTCTTTGGGTAGGAAAACTCGATTAATTTTTTTCTTTAGCTAATTAATAAATCCAGGTCTGCGAGTGGGGCTTAAAAACGTATTAAATTTAACAAAGGAGCTCATAGACTACTATGACTTTGCTGTCAGCGAAAACTGCGTTGCTTATAAAGATTGTGATAAGCTACAACTATTCTATGATAGCAATAAAGCAATATTTGGAGTGGAGTATGAGGGCGATGTCAATAATATATGCGCCACTGCTGAAAAAAATCACATTAGAATGAAGTATAATTTTGGTCAGGGTTGGGTAAACTGCTTTAAGGGGTCCTATCCTCTTCCAGAAACTGAATACACTTCCGACCAAAACCAACCTGCTTTGCCTACTTGGTCTACCAGTTTTCCTACATCCACAGCCTTGCCTATTCCCACATCGGCTGGGATTGCTCGCTTTCTTACCGGTTACACATGGACAAATAATGCTTGGGGAGAAAAAAACTATAGGGATCTCACTGACGGCATGAAAGTTGTTTTTGTAGATCTTTTTGATACCTCCAAGGAAAGGATAGAAGATTTAAAGAGGGATAACGTTTTAGTTACTTGCTACTTGTCTACTGGAACAGTCGAGGTAAAAATATAGGAAAGCAGCGTTTCTGTATCAACAACGTAAGACAATATAAAAATATATATAGAAATGGAGAGAAGATTTTCTTAGCAATAAATCCCAATGGAAAGAAGTAGAAGGTCAAGAAATGGAAGAATGGCCGGGTGAAAGTTGGCTTAAAATAACCGAACTAGAAAAACTCAAAGCCCTTATGCTGTACTCCTGAATAAATTTAACGCCATATACCAAATACTAAACAAATAAAATCAAATTTTAATTTAGGCCAAGATTTAAACTAGCAAGACACAAATTATGCGACGCGGTGGAGCCAGATAATGTCGATTGTTTTCAAAACGATTGTATCAAAGGAAAAAGTGAGTCTGAGCTTCGCCCTTATCAGATTAAGTACAATAAGTGGCAGGTTTTTGTAGCACACAGCTTAGGTAATAATAACTTTCAATTTTACTAATAATAATTTACCGGAGGACTTACTTCTATATTAGGTATGGCAATAGGCCTAAAAAATTCACTTGATCTAATAGAAGACATGGAAAAAGATTATGATTTTGCCATAAACGAAGAGTGCGTCAAGTATAATGACTGTGCCAAACTATTGCCGTTTTATAAGAGCGGCAAGGCAATATTTGGGACTGAATACGACGGTGATGGCCCACATATTTGCAAGACTGCAGAAAAATTTCACATTAAAATGAAGTATAACTTTGGTGATGGATGGATAAACTGTTTTCCAGGCACTCGCCCTCTTCCAGAAACCGAATACTACCCTGAAAAAGTAGAAACTGGAACTCCAAAACCAACACTACCGCCTCCAACTACAGAATATTGTGGAAACTGCACAAACCCTCCTAACCAGTACTGTTATCTTCCGGAGGGAGAGTGCAACCAAGAGGGAAATGATTGTGAGTACTTTAAAGTGCCTCCTGGGGCCGCCTGCCTTAACGTTGAAAAAGGCGCTTCGAGAGTTTGTAATAAAAACGGTGAGTGCGTGGACTTGTGCGAAAGCGTTACCTGCAATTCTCCACCAAATAAAGAGTGTTTTGCTATGCTGGGTCTTTGCAACCCGCTAACCGGGAAGTGTACTTACGACCAACACCAGGAGGGAACGCCCTGTATCGACCCGCGCGTAGATCTCCCGGGAAGATGCAATCAGGACGGTTTGTGCCTTCACTTGTGCGACCCGATGGCAAACACCATGTGTAGTCTTCCACCGAGCGCCTGCTACGTGGATGAGGGCGTCTGCGAAGAAGCCACGGGGACGTGCCACTATGACAAGCGCCCCTTAGGACATTCGTGCATTACGGAAGACAACCAAGCCGGGTGGTGCGACTACAGCGGACGCTGTCTATCTCCATGTGGCATTTTAGGGTGCCGAACTCCGCCAAATCGCCAATGCTATGTGGCTAATGGACAGTGTGAGAGCTGGAGCGGCGCGTGTCACTACGACAGGCATCCACAGGGGACGCTGTGCCAGATTTCTGAAAATGAGGTTGGTCAGTGCAACGACTACGGTGAATGTGTGAACGTGTGCAAAGATGTGAAATGTCTCTCGCCGCCCCACCCACAGTGCTACTTGTCTACAGGCGTCTGCAATATTATGACCGGAAGGTGCGGGTACTACAGAAGAATAAGCGCAGAATGTTAAGGATAGATGTTTTCTTTAATATACAATAAATATCCTCAGCGATAAGCAAAATCCTCATTTGCATTAATATTTAAAAGTTTTCCGTGCACTATACTTTGAATAATATACTCCGAAGTGACTATTTGAATAGCGTTATTCTGTTATTATTATTAAATGCTTATATTTCTTTAAAAAAATATAACAAACCTGGCACAAGTCAAAATATTTCTTAGGAAGAACTTTTCCTTTTTCAACTATAAAGCTAAAGTTTATAAGGTAAAAAGCCCATAAACACTATTTCTAGCAAAATCCGCAATAACTTACAATGTAAGTCCCTGTGATACTAATTCTATAGAAACAAAAGTTCCGTTGCAAAGGAGAAGTAGTCGTTTCCACTCGTTCTTACATACGCACACTCCTAAGTTAGCGCCTTGTCAATGAAGCGACGTAAGAAAAAACACCTTGAAACTACGGCTGCCAAATAAAGTAAAAGTTGTTTCTTTTAGAATTTTTAGAGGAAAAACGTTTCGCACGGGGACCGACAATCCTCGCGGAAGCACAAAGTCTTCGAAGGCCACAAAACGACTCTGTATATATATTAAATGACAATGGCTAAAACAAATGAGTTACTGTATTGCCTTCCGGCAACAAGTGGTAATCCATGAAAAGTCAACGCACGGGACTCCGCGGACGAGCGCCTATCAACCACCAAGTAGTGCATGTCTACAACCAAAAACACACGTGGGTGCAACCTCCATGTATTTTAACGAGCGACGTGGAGTGTCTGTTACCAAAAAGCGTTTTTTCTTGAGGGCAAATCTTTCACTAAACAGGGGGCAAGCGCGGGTAAAGACTAAAGATTAAAAGAAATGCGAGAGGGAGGGGGGCAAAGACAACGGCTCACCTGAAGTTATTAAAAAGCTTACCGCCATTAAGTTTTATGAGGTTCTCTATGTGATTTTTACAAAATGCTGAGGAAAAAAAATAGTTTACTTTAGAAGTAAAGAAAATAATAATTTCGGCAGTACACTTTTGATTATCAGGTAAAGAGCCTCCGGTTATTATGAAACCGCAGTCTCCAAAAAGTTCTAAGTATTATGGGTTATAAGAACTCTTAATAGTAGGGCGTATAACAACTTTCTCGTTTTTTTTCACGCTTGTTATGAATAAAAGGCTGGTTGGTTTTAACATCGCTTCTCTTAAGCTTTCAAGGGAAATAAAATTAAATAAAAAAGTATTAGTTCCAAAAACTCACCAAAAGTTTAAAGTGATCGGTTCGAATGCCAATGTCTTCAAATCGGCAAAATCGAAGAGAGCCTTAAGCGTAATAGTGTAAGCCCAAAGGGTACAAAGGTCGGAAAGGGGCACGTGGACAAACAAACCGTCCGCCTGATCGCGTATAGTATACTGCCGCTGCTGCTCATCAACAGCGATTACCACACCGGGAGCCCATAGAGAGTCTTCTAGGCGTAGGGTGACCTGTGAAACACATAATATAGGAGGTCCGACCTGTAGAGTACAGCAAACGGGCTGACCCACGTTGCTGCCTGGAGGAATCACAAAGTACTCGTAGACACATTCCGGCTTCACCTGCCGGATGTCCCCATCCTAGGATAGATGCGCGAGATATATTTTTAATTACGCGTGCGTGATATAAAGGACAATACGGTGAATTGCACGCGACATTCGCCCGTCTCCTCGTCAACATGCTCGACAGTCCCAACGTAGTAGTACTGGTCGGGAAAGCGCCCGTAAACATAAGCGGGGGGTAAATAAGAAATGCACCGGCGCTTCGATGCAACGTGAATAGAGTTCCACTCGCGACTACCACGGCTGCCGGGTATGACGTGCTCTAACCCCGGGGTGGTTTCTTCCAGTCGAGGCGGCGATAACCATTTGGAGATGTGCAAATGTTGGTTATAATTGTGTGTGTCTTCTAGTTTGGTGAGCTTAGGGTTCCTATTATTAACCTCGGCAGCAGTATTAGCAATGTTAATGTTTTTCCGCTTAGCTCTTCTTTTGTTTTTAACTTTATTGCAAGCCCCTTTAAGGCGAAGTTTACTATCAGGTAAACTTTTTTTCACAATTTTATTACTGTTAATATTAGTGTTACTGTTATTATAACAAGTATTGATGTCTGTAGTGACAATAGAGTCCGCCTGCTCAAAATTTTAAATGAAATTTTCAAGTTGTTCCTTTTGGAAGTGAAAATTAGGGCTAGAAAGAAGAGAAGGACCCGTCAGGTGACAGATGCATAATCTGCCAGGCAAAAAACCGACCTGTTTTTTGCATAAATATATAAAAGAGTGAACTTTTTTTTTTATTATAAACATGTAAAAAGGACTTTTTTACTGACGCGCACAAGAGGATTCTCTTCATATTCCCTCGTAAACGAGGTTCCGCTTTTAAAATAATACATATGAATAATAATAAATAGGATAATTTAATATAAAACCAGCAGGACACGCGGATCGTATGACTAACACACGTGGTTGTTGTCGACTTTAGTTCGATGTGATGGCCGTTTTGATTCACGGGATTTTCGGTGGATGTAAAATGCCCTTCAGACGCCTGCGACTAATATAAAGTCATGCCTTTAACGAAAACTATTGAAGTTCGTTTAGTTCGAAACCTTTTCAAACTTGTCTCTTGTAAGTAATTTAGGAGTTGCTGGCTCGTTATTATTATTTATATCACTGTTCTTATTGTTATCATTATTATTTTCATTAATATTATTCTTATCGTTGCTATTATTAATCTCGTTACTATTATTCCTATCATTGTTATAATAGATTTCGGTATTAGTATTGTTATTATTGTTAATATTACTATCGGTACTATCATTCTTATCATTGTTATTATGATTGAGGTTGGGATCTATACTGATAATAGTATTGAATTTAAAATGACCACTAGCGCTGTTAGTTTTATTATCATTGTCTTGCGCAAGAAAGTCGTTGCCTTTATCACTATGTTCACTGCAAGAAAGAGGGGGAGACGCAACAAATAAATATAATGAGTCTTCCAAATCTTTCGGATCCTTTAAAAACATAATAATAGTAAAAAAATAAAAAAATAATTACAGTACTGCAAAAAGTTGTTTATGTTGAATCTCCTTTACGCTTTCTTGTACTAAAGGCGAGGCAAACTGAGTTTCTTTGACAAAAGATTCTTGAGCTTTATCCCCTATAAGACCAAGAAAAGTTATTAAATGCATAGTAAATAGTTATAAATTCTAATAGCGAATAAGAAATTTTGAAGGGCTACCCCCTAAAATTTTAAATATATATATATATGAGGAAACAAAAGCACGGTTAGCTTCCGAGGGGGTCTCTTGCTCTGCCACTGACAGGGCTAAAGATCCCTGAAGGGATTCTTCAGGAGGAGTAGACTGCTTTCCAGATAGTTGAAAACATTCGAAAGAGAAATTGGTGTTAAAGAGAAAAGGCGTAGAACTTTTTGCTAAAGTTGGTTTTGACAAGGGTGGGTTCGGAGAAATGGCGGAGTTGCTAAACAAATATGAGGAAACACTACTATCTAATTCTTGGACTTCATCGCTATCACAACGGCTACTCTTAATTTCGCAAGCATTATGGCCATTTGTGTAAGCTGGAAGCTTGGATTCTTTTCCAATAGTATCACCTTTGTTATCAATATTATTTTTAAAGGAAATTTCAAAAAGTCAGTGTTACCTAAATTTGTGTCATTTGTTATATTTTTCCAAAAGCAGCCATCGTTCTCGTTACAAACATCGACTATTTCTTTATTAGAAGATTCCTTTTGTTTTGGGGTGTCCTGATTTACGAATTTTTCCATTTTGATACCTTCTATAATATAATCCGGCTGTGCAGACTCTCCTGCTTTAAGACCATTGTTACTACTGTTATTATTAAAGTTACTAGTATTAACACTATTTTGATTTTTATCTTTGTTATTACTACTATTACTAATACTTAACGCACTATTATTACTACTACTAGAACAAGAACTTTTGGATTTACACTCTATCTTAATATAACTTCGACTAGTAGTATTAACGTCACCACTATTCGTACTATTATTATTTCTACAAGAATTATTATTTCCAGTAATATTACTATTATTATTATTATAATTAGCAGTGATACAGTTAATATCCGAATTAGTATTAGTATAAAGACTGTTATTTGTAACCTTTTCTTCAACTTTGTTCTTTACTATAGATTTATTATTAATTTCAATATTACAGGAGTTAAGTTTAGTTTCAAAGTTTTCGTCATTGTCGGTATGTTGAGGACTAATTATAAAATTACCAGGAAAATAATTACTGCAAGACTTCGTATTTTCTATGTTATTATTCTCTTTAACGGCATAGTACTTATTTTCTTCCGGATTTACTTTATTATTTGTACAAGCGACTTGGTGAGACGCAATGAACAGAGCCGATGGGGGCTTACAGGTATATTCATACCAAGAGTAAGACATAAGACCATCTCAAACCAAAAAAAAGTCAGAAGCAGACGAAGGAGCCAAAATTTGTTTCTGTAGACGCCGGGAAAACAGATCTTTTTTAATTATTCGCAGCCGTTTAACACCGTCATGTGGTTTTAAATAGACTTTAGCTTAATTTTTTTGTAAACATGCATAAGACAGCCTCTTGGTTATGACCCTCGCGGTACGTCAAGCTTTCCTGGTTAAAAAAAAGTCTTAGACCTATCAGTTGGGAAATATGACTATGATTATAGTTCATTTTTTATTAACATATACTAATATTTAATAATATTTCGGTATTAAATCTTAACTATTCTAGTTAATGTAAAATGGTCTTCACTTTGCTATTACGTCTTCATTGATATATATTAGCTGTGTTGAAAAAGCGCACCCATTTTAGTTGAGGGTGTCATGATATGCTAAGGGAGATGAAGCTCCGCACCCTCAATTAAAAGAGGGAAAGTAGTTTAATCGGTATTAAATATAAATCACGCCTGTAGTAAGCTAGTGCTATAAATAAAATATAAAAAAACACGCATAAATTGTAAAGCAAACAATAAAATTGTTATATTTCGACTAGGACTGTAAAGGAAACTTATTTTCTTTACCTGCTTCAGTCCTGGCGGGGCCCCGAGGGTTTCGATCTAGGGGCCTCAAAAGGTTGCCATCCTAGGATGGAATGGCATCCTGAAGAAACTTAACTTTGATCATGTCATAAGTATACTGGTGAAGAACACTATTTAGTACCTGCCATATCAAACAGCACTAAGGCCGCTCGGATGGACTGGCACCAACACCGGCGTAGAGGAATTTAACTAACTAACTGGTATACAGGGAAATATTCCCGCTAGGCTATTTAAGCTTTTTCCTGAGCCACGTTTATAAACGATTATAAATTTTTGTGCAAACTATTTTTTAACCGACTCTAACCATTAGAAGTTTTTATATTTTTGGTATTTTTTTTTAAGTTGAGGTCTTGGTTGCTATAACTTCATTTATACTATTTAAAGTAAGTCTTTTATTATTATATGAAAATCTTTTTTGTATCTAATTTTATAATATATAATTACACTTAATTGGTAAACTGGTTAATTATGTATCTTAGTTATTTTTAGTTTATGACCTAGTTTGGCCGATTCTTTTATTAATAAAAGGCCGCACATATCGGGAGAATTAGCTACAGCTATTTAACGCATGAAACATCTGTTTAAAAAAACAGTAAATTCAAGATAATAGTTTTTAACATGAATATTTTAAGTCACTTTTATTTTTTTTTAAGTATTCTTATTTAGATATAAAAGGTATGACCAGGCTTCTAACTTCCATATTTTTATTAGTTCCTATTAATCTAAATAATAAATATATGGTACAATTAATAATAAAAATTACTTGTTAGTAATACTGCGCTGTGACTCTACTACAAACATAGCTTTTCACTAAATACTGGAAACTCTTTTTAAAAATTATGGCGCCAAAAAAAGTATATATATAAGTTCGCTCTGCGTATAAAGCTATGGAATTTAATAATTTATAATAAAACGGATTATGAACGATGTGGAAGTAGCTTGTACAACCGAAACTTCTAAATATGAGGGCGTATCGCTAGTAGAAGAAGGCCTTAATGTTAGTTTAAGTGATGGTAAAACTATTTAACTCGTATTAATGCATCCGTTGTAATAAAAACTTACCACACTTTCCTACTTGAATGATTTCTCAAGAACTATAGTTAGACGTTTTTAACTAAAATTATTTAGCGCTGCGTACACTTGAATAGTTATTAAGTTATTCAAACTTTCGTAACTATATTGTTTACTTAAAAAGACTTTCTTAACAAGGCACTGCTAAAGCAAAAAAAATTGCTTTAGTACGTTAAGGCTCTGATCATAAATTTAATACAACTAGATAGATTTATAAGAATCATTATTACAGGACAAGTCGACTTGCGAAAAGTTTTGGAGAGATGGCATGCGCTGAACGACTCCATCTGTGAAGTTAATGAATATATTCATTCCCTTAAGGAATCACTTGAAAGTTTTGGTTGTGAGCTTAAAGCAGAATCTGAAAAATTAAACTCTTTACAAGTAAGTACTAAACTTTAAGGTATAGTAGGTTAGCTATTTACTTGACTGATCTAGTTGCAAATTGAAGAACTTCCTATTTCAAAAAGAGAAGAGGTTGAAGGTGAAGTCAATTAAAACAAATTTACAAAACTTTTTACATCATTTTTGAATAAACACCCCTTTTATTTATTTTATTTATATAATAATGACAGTCCTAGTGCCGATCGAGTTAGAAACTTCGAATACTCGAGCTCTCAATCAAGTGCGTGCTCGCAGATATATTACGGATAGCATTCAGGGCGTCATTATTTTTTTACATTATGGTATTCTAAACCTCCACTTCGCGTTTCTTACTATTTAACTATAGCGCCTTAATTATATAATAAAAGGAAGGTAGGAGTAGAACTCTTTTATTAAATTACTTCGCACTACACCCGACAGATAAAATCTTTCGAGTGAGTACGGCATTTTAAGGTTTTTTTATAGGCTGCTCGCATTCAAATATTATTAACATCTTTGTAACTAGTAAAATTGGCTCTTGCGCCTTCAGTCATGCAACCTTTAAATCAAACTTTTAATTAAGTGCGCATTAATCCGTGACTCCTCATTAGACTCATTTAACTAAAAAAATGCACAGTTAACAATTAACAAAAAAAACACCCAGTGCTTAAAGGCTTCACGAGGGCGGTGATAACGTACCCCGTCCTATGGCTGGTAAATAAGTTCGCTCACCCGTAGACGATTAGTGTGCCTAGTGAGCCTGTCGTAAAGGACTACGGCATGGCGTTGGAAGACAATGTGTAAAGGGTCCAGCTCCCGGTGAAGAGCATCATTTCCCCCAAGCCACGGCGCCTTTGTCAGAACACGCAGCAATTTTTTCTGTCGCACTTGAAGGGCACTGTCGCAGTGGAACCGTAAGTTCATGAAGGAGAGGCGTATATCATTCATGGGCTGGATGCAAAACAACTACAATTGCCGTCTGTTTTGCAGAGAAAGCTTACTCTTGCCGCAGAGTAAAGGATAAAGCGCCTTGGTTGCTGCCAGGAAAATTTATTGACGATGGACTCCCAAGTATTTCGCTTGAGAACACCTTGGAATCTTCACGCCATTAAAGGTTAAGGGCACCAACAAGAGGACGTTTATTTCTTTGAAATTAATAAAGCTTTGCCCTTCATCGCATTTATTGTAACCTTCCAATCAAGGCGTCAGACAATAAGGGTGTCGAGATAGCGCTGTAGATGCTTGCATAGCAAGGAGGGAGACTTCGAAGAGGGATATACGGTCGTATCATCAGCGAAGAGGACGAATCATATGTGCATGCCGGACGGCAAGGGCACGTCGCACATGTAAATAGCAAATAAAAGGGGCGAGAGGAGTGCCCCCTGAGGGATCCCCCGTTGTCAGAGATCGAAGCGGCGACCGTGTATCCCCCATCCAACTGCACGCTGAGAACGCGTCCATTCAGATATGAATTCAGCGTGTTATATAGGCCATGAGGGATGATTACGAGCGCAGTTCGTGCAGCAGGTCTTCATGCGAAACTTGATCAAATGCCTTTTCAACGTCAAGGAAGACAGGGCCAGTTGCCTTCTGATGGTTAACAGCGCAAGTGGTCCGTTCAGTTAAGCGGAGGAGCTGCTGAGTCGTTGAGTGACCTTGCCCAACTCCAAACTGAAACACCGGTAAAGCTTTCCGAGCGTCAACGACCTCTTTAAGACGGCGCAGTAAAACGGCCTCACCCGCTTTACCGGCTGCTGACAGTAGGTTGATGGGTCTGTACTTGCCAATGCTGATTCCGGTTTGGGTTTTTAGTGGCATCACAACGCTCGCCGTCTTCCATCGAATCGGAAAGGCGCCAAGGAATTCCCTTTATATCAACACATTTTGTAGTAGCCTCTGTGTTAGGGTTTTGTCTACCTCCAATATTTAAAATGTATAAGCTGTGCTTTCCAGAGTTTATAAAGTTTTTCTCTCCCAAAAAATAATTTAGTGAGGCCTTACGAGTTATCTCTTAAATTAACTTTTAGTTACTATAATGTAATTTGTGCTGGAAATTTCGGATAAGCGTTTGTAGGATGTAACTGTATAGGCTAATTAACTAGATGAGAAATACTAATATATTAACAAAAGAGGAAAAACAAAAAGAAACTATTCCTCCACCACAACAATCGATTTAGCTCTAGAATAATGAATCTCTTATATAATTTTTTATAACAAGATTAACGATCTATAAAAATGGTTTCTAAAAATATTAATTAAAGAAAATCTTAGAAATTGATCTTTCCAGTTTAAAAAAAAAATTACTACTGCTAGTGAAAAAAGTTTAAGGCCTAAAGGAGAGTATTGTTAAAATTTCTAAAAACTAGCGAAAAATCTTTAGTTGCCGAGGAGAAAAGTGTAAATATTTCGTTATTTGCATTTTTCTGAAGTTAAATTTTAAATAACTTTTTAATTAATAACGAAGTGTAGGTAGACGAACGTTTACAAGATTTTTTAAACATCAAAGTTTTATCCGACGACTAATGGTCGAATACACGTAACTAAAAAACTATTTTTACTAGAAATTACATATCATATTAAGTTCATCAAGTTCCAATTACAGTTATATGTAGGTGTAGCAACCAAGGGATACTGTCAATTAGTAAATTTTATCATTTTTTATTATTATAAATAAATGATTTTTTGGATAAATTTAATTTAGCATATTCTTTATTAATTTAATATGCCTTTACTTGAAAATATATCTAGTATGAGTTTTAAGGGAATCTATTCAGGTTATATCCAGTTTGATGCCTTTATTAAAGATGTCTTATAAATACTAAAAACTTTTTACTTTCAAAACTGAACTAATAATTGTAAACGAACCAAAAATGAAGCACATAACCGAGCATTAAGAGAAAAAACTGCGAGTACTAAATAAAAAATTAACTTTAAAACTTGTTTATTTAGAACACTTTTATTAAAGGGTTATCAATAAAGTAGTTGTAGATTTTTTATTTAACTCCCGAGTTTGATATAACATTTTAAAGTTTGTATCTTCAAAACTTTGATAGAGAAAATTTTTTAAATTTTTAAATTGAAAATTTCAATACACGCTACTAACAAAAAAGGAGGGTGGCTGATACAAAAAGTTTCTGCAGTAACGATAGGTGCCGATCTTAGCATAGGGCTTCCAGCAAATGTCTATAATATTAATAATTTTTTTTGTAAAAAAAAGAGAACTAAAACGACAGAAGCTCTTGAGAAACTACTAAGAATTGCAAAAAACTTAAATTTCGCCAATGTCTTTCACAAAATGTTAATCTTTGCGGCTAATTTTCTTTGGCTGTTCGATCGCCACCCTTCTTCTGTTATTTTTTAAAAGCTTGTGCATGAAAGTTTAGTAGTGGACTATTTTCATTATAAGGTGAGTAATTATAAGAGCGAATATCTCAGTCTAATAAAGTTAGTAAGCCAGTAACTTAAACTTTTTTATTTAACCTTTTTTTAATGTTATTTTTCTTGCGTTCGTACAACTTTTAAATAACTCCACCCCTTCCACGAAAATGCAATATAACGAATTATTACAATTTTTCGGTGGCACTTTTGAGGCAAGACCCCAGTTCCTAAGTTTTAACGCATAGTACCATTTTTAGGTAATTGTTATGATGCTTATTTAGATTATTTTATTGCTTAGTTGTTAGTATATATACAATGAAGGTTCACGAAAACCGGCAGTCGTGTTAATTTTATTCAGTGCTTTTTTGTTTTAGCCGCGTCTGTACGTCTATATATATATACATTTGTTTACAATTAATTTTAAAGGGCTTAAAGGTTTAGGTATCGGTAAGTAAAGGTTTAAATACCCTAACAGCCACTTCTGGAAAACTTAGGAAAGCAATTTAAATTATACTGCGGAGGAAAAAAAAGTTTAAATGTTCAATAACTCAGTTTAATTAACAATAAACATGAAATAAAACAAGTATAGATTTTTCGTATTAAAAAAAACTGCTAGAAGAAGTAATGTTTAAAAATTGAATTAAGAATTAGATTATTAAATAAAACAAGGCCCTGGGCGTCTAAGTTGGTGCTAAAGTCAAATCCTTTACAAAACGAGAACTTTATTAACATTTAATAATATTCTTATTTTGCGTACACAACGTATTCTCTAGCATCGCTTTACTAAAACTTTACTATAAATTATATTTTATATCTACATAACATATCGTATCTTCGTCCGGAACATATTATCTAGTAAAATACAGTATGCCTGACTTTGACTACTTTTTATATCTTATATTTCACATAGTATATAATACTTGTTTAAAGTTCACAACGTGTCTCCTTTTAAAATACAAAATGCTAGAGCTACATTTAATATTTACTATTCTCTTGCTTAACAGCTTATTATGGTAAAAAATAATATTGTAACGAGTAAGAATACTTTCTATTAATTGTTGACGAAATACCACTCTTCTCCTGTAATTTACTTGAAGTAGTTTGTTAGGACATTCTATTTTAATAAACAAGCGGCATGACTAGTATTTACTGAGGTCTCCGCCTCGTTTAAAATATCTCTTAATTATATTGTAGTGAACTCGATTCTTATATCCTTTTTTTTTACTGTTTATTTTTTTTGCTAAATATTAAACTTCTCCGTTTATAAATAGATACTTATTATGCGGCTAGAAAAAATTGAAAAAATTGAAAAAATAAAGTGACCAAGTGATTTTAAGTCTAATTTTTTTTTAATACTAAACTTGCCTAGTGAGAGGAATCCTTAGAGTCAAAAAATTAAGTAACTGTAACGCGTCAAATATGAAACAGTTTTAATCAATAAAAAAACTTTAATAATAGTAAATATCAAGGCGAAGAGTACACGAAAAAAAGCCAAGAAACCATTATAAAAAAAATCAATAAAGTTGAAACCAGGATATTATAAGATATATATTTAACTAAATAGTTTCACTAAAATCAAAAACAAAACTGACACCTTAAATTTATGGTTATCATCTAGTACTAAAAAAAGATATATATATCTAATATTTACCGCCCACTATAAATTAGTAAACAAAAAGTATAATATATTAAATAGGTTTTCTTTAAAAGTTAGCAAGAAAAATAAGAAGACGTTTATGTATTACAATAAAAAATTGGTAGAAACCTTTGATAAATAAAAAAAATTTAAGAATTACAAAATAGTAAAAAGAAAAAACTGAAAGATATAATAAAAATAAATACTATTAATATAAAGTAACCCAAATTTAATTATAATGTATAAAGTCATTCTCTAAAATTACTTGCGGAGTACTAGAAACCTAAATAAATATTATTTCAAAAGGTAATATTACTTTTATTATCAAAATTTTTTACTGAGGAAAAGTAGAGATGGTTAAACAAAGTTTAAAAAAATGCTGGAAACGGTAAAAAAAGAGTTTGGTTTTAAATTGTTAAAAGCATAGCTTGTGGACCGCAAAGTTTATAATAATAATTATTGGTATTAATTAATTTAAATTTTTTACTTCGTTTTATTATATTAGTTGTTATTATATTATAATTTTTATTATTAAAGGTATTTTTTTTAACTTAAAATTTTCATTGCTATTAATATTGTATTATTTTCATTTTGTTATTTGTAAATTAGTACACATTACTTTACGATTGGGCCAACCTAGACGCACGTGTTTGCACTAAGTCACGAGGTAGGTTACTTTTGTTAACTTTCCCGAACGGTATTTGGCTTTATGCCTAAAAAACGCTTATTTACAAAAAAAAGGAGTTTTATGACATGGTTGCATTACTTACAGGTTCGGTATTAAACACATCAACTTCTAAATATATACCAACAGAAGTTCATAAAGAATTAAAGTTTGACCTCGGCAATTTAGCCGTTTTTGATGACAGCCATATAGATGAAGACAATTTAAAGTTTTTATATATTCAGAATTTTTTATTAGAAATATTTTTTATAATACTCTTAAAGAACAGATAATAGGGAATTATATTTAAAAGAGTTAAACAAAGAGAATGTTCAGGCTTTAATAAATTCTATATGGGGATTACCTACCGTATATATATATATTCTTGTACCTCCTTTACTTTTCTACTTTTTTCTCTGTTTATTTTGAATAAAAAAGATTAAAAAAAAAAAGGTATTTAAACTTTTTTTTTAGTTTTTAGTCAATATTAGGCTTCACGGAAAAGTAAACAATGTTCAAACTGTTTATAACTTTGTTTATATATACAGCAAAATTAATTTTTATTTAGCCCTTAGAAACTTGGGTACCTTTTGTTTGTTAAACTTTTACTTAGCTGGTATTACAAGGAGAGGTTAATATAAAAAAAATTATTTTTAGATCCGCAAAGATGAAGTGCTTCTTGCCCAGCTCCCCGAGCCTATTACCCCTGTTCCCCGGGAAAAGCCCGTAAAACTACTGAAATTTCTTGTCTTTACTGGTCACTTGACTTTTGGTCTTCAGGTTCCCGAAAAAAGGCCGCCGACAAAGTGGGAGCGTTTCGCCCAGCTAAAAGGGATAAAAAAGCGGAAGAAGTCGCGATTGGTCATACTCTTTAGTATTTGATCCAGTGGGCAGTTCACGTGGACTTGCTGTCAGGTTTTCGACGACGTTACTGGGACCTACAAACCTCGATGGGGTCACCAACGCGCTAATGACCAAAGTAAGGATTGGCTGATAGAGCTACCTAAGCAAGCTGGTTGGTGTTTTTTCCCCTACTTTCGGTTCGCTATTGTCAAAAATAACGTAAAGATCCGTATATGGACGCGTTTGGAGAAATAAAGGAAAATAAAAAGGGCAGAATATTAAAAAACAAAAAGCAGCAGAACAACAACAACACCAACACTATTGACGTCCGTCCGCAGGCCTTAAAGAAAAAAGCATTGGAAAGAGAAATTGTCTTAACAAAAAAGTCTACGGCTTCTCTTGGTTCTTTTTTTTCCTTATTTTTTTTATAAAATATTGTGCTAAAAAACTTGTCAGGCCGTTTTGACCAGAAATTGAAAGAAGAGCCCAAAATAAAACAAGCTCATGCTAAAAAAAACAAGTTTGCTTCTAATATTGAACCAAAAAAAGCGCGTGGGAAGGAGCAGTCCATAAACAAGGCGATCTTAAAAAAGGTTATCGCTTCGATCTACCGACCAATAGTGAAACATATAATAACATCGCCGTTCAGGTGCTCGGCGGGGGCGCTAAGCCTCCTTATAACGAAAGTGGAGCTGGTTTAAGTGTCAAAAAGAATTCAAATAAAAAGAAAAATAGCAAAATATCAAAAGTTCAGCAAAACTCAAAACGACGAAGAAAAAATTAGTGGTGGCGCATTGGATTTTTTTTAATTATGCAATAAAAAAATATTCCCTTCTCCACTTGTGAAGCATAATTTTTTTATGTGGTCGTCTTCAGAGGAGCAAGCCCCAGTGACTTCCTCAACTGATTGGTTTGTTGGACGGACAGAGACTCATCGCTGTTTCCTCCGCGCCTCTTTTCCTTTGTCTCCACACTTGCCCTCGTCTCGCTAGTGGAGGCGCTTTTCGAGGGTTTCTTATACCTTAACACGTGCGAGACTGCAAAACGCTGAGGGCTGGCGCCCGCCTCGATCTCTCCGGGCTCTCTCTCGTCGCTGTTGATGGGCTCCTCGTTGGGCGCTTCGGTGCTTCTCTTTTTCGCTTCCTCGTGGCCATGTCGGCTGCGTCGAGCTCGAGACCTGTCTCGTTCTGTTCGATCTCTTCCCTTCTTTTTTTTTCTGGTGTTCTTTTCGGAGTCTCTCGTTTTACTTTCTTTTCTGCGTTCTTTTTTCCTCGCTCGTTCTCTTTCCCTCTCTTTACTTCTTCCTCTGCGTCGCTTCTCGCGGGTGGCACTTCGGCTTCGGCTCCGCCAGCGATGTCTACTCACGACGTGACGCAGCGGCGAGCCTAAACCAAAAAATTTATTAACGAACTATAATTGATACTTTTCTGCTTGAGAGCAACTTTCACGAGGAGCATCAAGATCGCGATAACCGCTTTTCTTAATATTTTTGGCTATCTATAAATCGTAATTTAAACACTAATATATAATAAAAGGCACGATCTAGAATTACTTTTTCCTTACGCTCGTACTCAATTACTTCTTTTTGGTAGTTTTCTAGCAAATCTGCATCGTCAAAATCATCATTTATAGCACTTTGGCGGGGCTCTAACTAGAACAATATGAAAAATATGTACTCACACTACTATAACGCAAGTATTCGACCTGGCCGAGCTCCTCTAAACTTTTTCTTTTCATAAGTCTTGGCAAAATCAGGTCACAAACGCGTTCCTCATGCATAAGTTTATCAATAAATTCGTCCACGTGGGACTCAATAAACTTGCCTTCTCGATTTTTGAACCTTAAAGTAAACATGATCTAAATTTTATTTTAACAATGCCATGCTAAAAACCTAACGCGTCGGAAGTCGTCGTAAAGAGGCTCCAAATATTGATATATTTCGAGGGCGTTCCCAGTTAACCTCAGATATATAGCTCCAAGCATTCTCAAATATCTAAAAACACATATATATAGATTTATAACTTTAAAAAAACCATAAAAAAGGTTGTTATTCACTTAAAGTCCTCGTTCTTAAGATACTCAATAATTATTTCTTTATCAGGTTGCAACTGAAGAAGTTTCATTACTAAACAAAGAAAGGGAGTAGCCTTTAAAACCAAAGTATCAAAAGTTTAAAAAATAGTAAACCATAAAAAGGCAAAACCTTAACACTACCACCGTAATGACCCCCATAATGGTTAAGTTCGACAGCTTTATCCACAAAAGTTTCTGCAGTTAAAGCAAAGCAATGTTCCTTTTTATTAACAAAATTTAAATTTTTTTGAAAAAACCTATAATAGTTTAAATGCCAAAAACCTTCCAATACAAAGAATCTATTATGCGAGTTCTAACTATTTTTTCCACCAGATGCATGGGATTCTGCCCATGAATAGAAGTCACATCCTTTGCAACGGAATTAGCCATCTTCGATTGTGTAAATAAAAAAACTATATTATATAATTTCTTTTGTTTTCCTTTTATTTGAAGAGAAGAATTAAACAAATCTACTTAGTAAAGCAAGCTTGGGAGAGTAAGAGATAACGACATTAATCGCTTCGCCGTGGCACAAGCGTAATTCATAAAAGGAAAAAGTGGAGCTACTGGGCGTGCACGCCACTAATTGTTGTAAACGGGATACAATATACATGATTTTTGATTATCTTTTCTTATTTTTAACAATGTTATTTGATAACTTTTACAATACATATCCCGTTTTTATATTTTTTTATGTTTTAATGTATTTTTAATGTTATTTTTTTAAAAATATTTTTAGGATATATAATTAAAATTATTTTTGTTATAATTGTACCATATTTCGTGTTTGTACTATTCTAAGCTTAAATTTAAATAAGATAGACACTTATATATGGAGTGTTTATATAATTTGCAACAGTTGTGACGTATATATTTTAAATAATTAAAAATTTGTTTATTAATCGATAAATAAAATATGAAAATTTTAAAACACTATTAATTATTTATTAAGGACATTATATCATTAAAATAATCAATTTTCACGAAATCAATTTCGCACCACTACCACCATTCTTTTTTTTATGCTTAGAATCTTTAGTGGTTTTACACAAAAAGTGAGACCAAAGCAGCGTTTTTGTTTTGGTTATTCGTATTTAACAGGATAAACTATCGCACGTTGTTTAGATTTATTTATATTAATAACAGGAGTGCTTCTGTAGTGTTCCATTTTAACTATTAGAAAAAGCAAGGCCTCCATGTTACCATTGGAACAGGTTGCATAGAGTCATAAAATTTATTCATAAAATTCACTCATAAAATTTATTTTAAATTGAAGCAATTTTTTGAAATTTTTTTTTTTGCAACTAATTCGGTTGTATGAAAAATGTGCTGTTAGACTACTTTTAAAGTCAACGTTAGTGTAGTAAAAGTAAATTCTTGATGAGCAACTTTTTTTTTTAGCAGTTATTGCCTGAGATTCTTTAAATATGAAACATTAAGTGGCTACTGCCTGGTCCTATAGGGCCTTACCACGGAAGATTTTTTTTGTTCCCAGTCGATTTTATGAGGTTAGTGGGGCTTGTTTATTGTTATGTACTTTCCTTTGATTGCTTGGGGAGTAACTTACTGGAGAAGAGTTGGTAGAGCAACTTCGTACTCTTTTTATAGGCCCAGTCATTATCGGGACCTCAGAAGCAAGTATAATTTTTACAGGTAACGCTAATAAAAGTAATTTGTTAACTATGGCAGGTAAATAGTATATTTTTGTAACTTGGCTTGAGTAATTAATACATTTTACGGAAGATGAACTTGCTTTTATAATATAATGTGTTTATTTTTTTGGCGTGGCGGTATTTTTTAACTGGAGGACGAGAAAAATATTAAATATGTGGAAATGCAAAAATAGGATTCACGGTTATTGATATTAGCATTGATTAGGGGTTAGTGATGCTATTCATGCTTAGCAAGTTGTTTTTAAAACTTCAAAAATGTTTGCAGCAATCGTGCAGTATAATTTGATTAACCAACCAAGCCTAGCAGAACAATTTAACTTAAATTAGCTTGTGTAACATTTTTTTGGAAATAAACACCCAATAAACTGAATAAAGGTGTTGACTTACAATATGATAACGTAGTACAATATATCTTTTTTAACTTTAATTAAGTGAACAAAAATATTGATTATTATTTTATCGAATTTTATATATTGTGTTTCGTCGTTTTTTTAAAGAAGAAAAAGCAAATATAGCTAAAGTAACAGTCGTAAAGAAATATGTAACTTGGTTTGTTTTTTACAGTTATGAAGTTTATATGCCTAGCAAAAGGACAAACAACAAAGTTGTGCGCGTGAAGACTAAATAGCAACGACAGCATAGCAATTGCATATTCATTTGAGGTAGATAACGACAAGAATATAACTCTTAAGTTTATATTTGAAGCTTTGTCTACATTAATACTTGTGTTAAAACTTTATAAAAATAAAAAAATTTATTAGTAGAGGTAATAACCAGCAGTTTGCATAGAAAAGTAGGTTTCATAAAGGTTAAGTGTATGCTATGATATCAAAAAATAGAAAAAGGCCAAAAAGTATATATACTCGCACAAATATTTTTGCTTTTTAAAAACTAACAAACATCCCTTATCACAGATTAAACTGTAAAAAGTAATTATGAAGTGCGGCCTACCTGAAATAAGTAGAAATATGTTTACATGTGTGAATCTCTAAGGATTAAAAAGTTATTTTTTTAGTTTCCACCATTCTTTTATTCTCTCTCTGCATTAGTACTTGTTCCTACGTAAATTTTTTAAGAGGCATTCCGAGCTTGAAAAAATGATAAAATCTACCTGCTCTTATAAACAAAATATACTGAGAGTTGGTAATAAGAGCTTTTGTAGTTTCTCTAAGTCCTCTTACAAAAATCTGTTTGAAGTAAATTAATATGTAAAAATCAAATTAACTTTTAACCATTCTTTTGAATTGACAACAGCAAATTTTTTTAAAAGAAATTGTACGATTTTGATAATGGGCGAATTTTTTAAAATATATACATCATAATAGTAGAAAAATTAATGTGTTACCTTTCTGAATACGCAAATTAAAGGACTTATAGTCGTATAAATGGAGTATGTAGTAAAAATACTAAATGCAGCCTGACTTCGCCATATACGTCGAGCCATATATTTCAAATTCTTATTTGCAATATCCTATAACTGGACAAATATATTCTTTTTGTTATAAGTTAATATTATATAAGAAAAACGCTTTTTTATGACTAAAGTGTAAAGCATTTTTAAAAATTTACATATATAAACTATCTTATATAACTGTAGAAATTACTATGCTAATCTCTAATATTAAACATCGGCTTAACCTAATCGCGAAAAGTCTATCAAACTTTTAGCGTTTTTCAGTGGCTTTTTCTAGCAGACTGGATATCCGCTACGTTAGTAGTAGTCCTCCAAACCACACTCTTTCATTACAATGCCCACTGGTGAGGTTCTTTTAACTCTTTTTCTACTAACTTTTCTTACATATCATGTACACGGCGGAGAAATTTTTGGAAGTTTAAATATTAGTAATCCCATAGAGGTATTCTCTTCTCGTTTGCTGAAGTTACAGCCTTATGAAGTGGTTATTAAATGTTACACTAATTTATTGTGTTAGGGTTGGCGTAAAGGTGCCGTAATATCTCTAAACGGAGGGGAGCATCTTAGTTACCTAGATTCAGAAGGAAGATTTGCTTTTTATCACGTCAACGCGGGGTTACATACAATTGATATACATGTTTCTAACTATATATTTGAGCCTCTTCTTGTAGAGGTAGCAGCATTTTTTTTAAGATTTTCTATATATATTTATTTTCTACTTTCGTACTTTCCATAGGTTACTGTGCATGGTTTTAAAGCTTTTATTTATCCTAAGTTAGCCAGCCGAATGGTAGAAATTTCTACTCCTTTAGTGATCACTCCAACTCTTAAAGTGAATTATTTTAAAAAACGAGAGGTTTGTCTTCTAAGATAACAATTCTTTTCTTCAGAAAAGTTTTATTTATAAGCTTATATAATATGATATTAAATCGTGCCAAAGGAATTTTCCCTTCAATACTTATTTCGAAATCCAATGTTATTGATGTTGGCTTTTCTGGTTGTGATGGCTTTTAGCTTTCCAAGATTATTAAGCTCTTTGGATCCAGAAGCCTTAGTGGAACTTAATAAAACGTACACAGTTACTCCTAAAGAGGAAGAATTAAAAGCTCTACGAAATCCTAGTGAGCCCAAGATTAAAAATAAATTAAATTGAATTTTAGTGCCAACTTATTAACACACCTTTGCTTTTTATTTATTAATTCAACCAAAACCTTGATCAAAGTTATTTCTCAGTATAAGAGTACATACAAAGAAATATTTTTGACAGTTGAGATTTTTTTAAAAGTCGTTAGCGCTACATATACATTTTCCCGCCAAGTTTCATAGGAAAAGTATACAATTACTATATCGTTATAAAGTCATCCCTTTTTTTTCATACCAATGACATTTTTTTAGGCAGCAGAAACAAATATTTCACATATATATTATTATATAAGAAAAGGTTAATATACCGTTTAATATTTCCATAACCGAAAGCTCTCAGTACGCAAAAAGGAATTTTATTGTTTTATAGCATAAAAAATTGCTGTTGACTGTCTGGAACTTCACAACACTTTAAAACAATTTAATGAACAGTTTTGAAAACTTAGAATGAACAAGAAGTCATCTTTCTTAGTATAATAACTTTAAATATGTTATAATCGGCAGGAAAGCTAACTAAAAGGTGAAATGTATTAAATTTAATTAAATTTTAAAGCCATTTTTTTTTAAAAAAAAATAGTATGAAGAGCATACCGATGAAGACAATGCTTGTATTAATATATGAACATTATAAAGTACATTAAGATTAGAAATCAAGAAGAACTAAATTAATTAAAAGATTATTGAAAAGAGATAAACCAAGTAGAATTTTTTTTAGCATATTAAAATAAAACGGTTTAGGGACATAGAGAAGGGATAATAAAAAAAGTTAGCTGTCTTAATTTATATCGTTAACTTGAAACTAACCAAAACTCGCTCTTGATTAAAAGTATACGCTACACAGTTATTTTCAAAAAAAACCTACGAAATTTCAAGAGCAAAGGTAATTAGATATATTGAATGCAATAAAAGGGTTAAATCTTTATTTAACAAGCTAGTCTCGGCGTCGATCTCTGCTACAATATATTTTTAACTGACTCATTTAAACTTTAAGTTTAAAAACAAAGCAATCATCAAGGGTACTAATATATAAAAAAAAAGCAGAAACTGAACAAAATAGCTTTGACGCAAAAAGGGGAAGAAATTAAAGCAAAGTTTTAATTGTTTAAGCTATGTCCAGTTTAGATGAGGTACGTTAGAATTTATTGAGTTGCACCCTAAACGATATAAATGCAAAGAACACAGTCGGCTACTTATAGCCCCTCTGACTTTATGAGGCCGGCAACACCATTTTAAACTAAAAGAGGCTCTCTAACTGACTTTTTTTATAATTTCGCTGCTGCTTTTTGTTAGACTTATAACTTTTCTGTCTTTACAATGGGGTTATTATGCTAAACAATATACAGGTAACTTCTTAAAAGATAGGACTCGCTTTCAATGTTCCTTTTAAGTACGCATATTTCTTAAAAAATAAAAAAATCTAAAGTTAATAATCCATCTTCGACCTTTTCCTTATAATCATGAACTTTTGCTTTACAAATGGAGACCTGCAACATAAGTCCTCTTATAACAGGTGATTTGCCTACGTTGAGAAAAAAGGTCTGCCATATATAAAGTAACTTTATTGTTTTCAAATTAAAGAGAAATAAAGATTGCGTAAAGTTACTTTATTAAACACAAATATAAGTCGACAAATTAGCTAACTTATATATAATAAAAGATTAATATTAAGCAATAGTACAAGGAGAGTAGGAAAAATATTACTAACATCTTTAAAGACCCAAAAATACTATTAAATAACTAAAGTTTCAACGACTAGTTACAGCGCAAAGTTATAAAAATGAAGGAAAAGTATATCAGAACGAAAATGGAACATAAAACTTAGACAAGAACGCAGATAAGCTAATTCACAAACAATAAGGGTCCGGGGCCTTGTAGCTGAACTTTCCTCAACTGATATGAAATAGAAAGTAAGCTTACAGGAGATGTCCTTATAGGAGTCTTGTTATTGCCCCTTTTTAATTTAGTCTCTTTCTCAAGAATAATATACTGATTGTCTTTAGGGATGTTTGCTATATTATCAAGTTTAATAAGAATAGCCGTATATAAGCACCTAATATAAATATTTCCCCTTATTTTCTTTTTTAAAGAGCCCTAGCCTTGCTAAATCATTCTCAAGTTTATAGTTTACTTGAGTTACTTTGGTGAACGCCGAGCCCACATACCGGACAGACACTATGTAAAAAATTACTAGGTACCCTGATTTGGTAGTGACTATATAATAAAATAAGACTAAATAAGAAAAAAATAAAGAACATCAGTTTAGTTAGATATAGTGTTGCTCATAAAGATGTGCTATAAATAAACTTAACTTCATCCTTTTTATTATTACTACTAATGATATTTCCTGGTGCTCGATCGAGTCATAAAAGAAAACACTGAATTTATGAGCTCTCAACAGGGTGACATTGCAAATATTAGCTTCAACCTTGTGTTAAAGCAATCTTATATATATAGATATATCCAAGTATTAAAAATAATTTTATCCCTACCCCGTATTATAATCTGGAGTACATTGCGCGGTCGGCGATAGCGTGCGAAGGTCCGGATTTCGTAGTTGACCCCATTCGTTAGTAATCGATTGGTGTGCTGACTGAGCCGATCGTAGGGGATAGCATTTTTCGGTTTTTTTTTTTACTATAGATACCAAACACTTAAAGTTATATTAAAATTTATTTTTACAAATACATCGTCAATAGTTAAAAGCTTATATAAAAAAAGTTCATTGTGGTTTAACCAAGAGAATTAAGAATTTTGATAAACAAATTAGTTGGTTGAAGTATTCTCTACGCCGCTGAGGTGCAGAGACTATAACAGCGACTTTACCGGGCTGTACTGGAATTAACAAGCTAATCAATATGTACAGGACTCTACATTTATTAATAGGGATTTTTATCGGTGAATAGGTCTCGTTTGTGTTCTTTTTGACAACTTAATTCACCTCTTTAGCACATCCTGAGAGTTGCATATATTATAAACTGGATCGCTCCCCATTTTTTTGTGAACATATTCAACACTAACTCGAGTTGGAAGCATACAATGAGTAGCAAGGTAAACAAAAAAGGGCGACACCTACTCTTGATTCGTTTTTAATTGTGCTAAGTTTTTCATAACGTTAAAAAGTGGATGCCCATTCTAAGGATCAGAAAATCAATTAAAAATGTCGAGTCCTAGAAGAGATTAATTGTAAAAATTTAAAAGAATGAGAAAATATAAAAATAAACTGTATTTAAAGAAAAGAAAGTTAATATGATGTGTGTGGTTTATTGAACATAATATGTTAGTAAATGCTTTCCTTTTGATTTGGTGGGAAACTAAGAGCGTTTAAAAAAGTTTTCTTCAGTCTGGCGCGTTTACATGTCCGCTTTCTAGTTTTGCGAAAAAAAATTAGTTTTTATTTTTCAAGTGTCCATTGCTTTTAGGCCAGTACACGGCTTGTCAAAAGTAGTTTCTGGTGTTTACTTAAAGGTATCGAATCCATCCTTTGGAAAGATGGTATGAGGAAAATATAGATAAAGAATTAGCTGCGCAATAACCGTTGCTATAAACTTTATCCAGTTGTTAACGACGGTGCGCAGGGCTTTGCTGTAAAGTTTTTATCGCCTAACTCCTGTACAGCCTAAGGTAATATGTTAGGTGCTTTTTCTATTTATATACCGTACACCGTCTGTATGATACTAAGAAGTGCTTTTTGATTGTGTCACAAAGAGGGAAAGCGAGGTTTTTTCTTTTTACTAAGGAAGTTAGTCGGCCAGAACACTTTGTTTATCTGGCCCATCTAATATTAAGTTACTGCCTTGAAGTATAAGTCAGAACTGCTTTTTCTTGTTCAGTGTTAATACGTATTTTATTATTTTACTTAAAGATTTTTGTTATAAATAATTAAAGCGTTCAAATTGTAGGCGAAGACTTTAATAATACCAAATGCAAATCGCTCCGCTTCCAGAGGTTGAGAGGGCGTAACTATCAAACAGTTATGAAACATTAAATAAACTGAATTTTAAGTTTTCTAGGTATTCGAAAAAAGCGATTAAGCAACACTCGCTCTGGAGGTCGATAAAATAAAAATAAATATTACTGAGAAACTCGAGCGAAATCTCGATTATAATAAGTTTAAGAGAAAGTCATTTTATAGAAAAATTTTAAAGGAAAAACAAAGTGGTTGCTAAAAATATTTGAGCAGTATAAAGATCCCTTAAAAATTAATATAATAAAATCGACGAATGCGATTGTTAAAAACGGAAAACTGCTAGCTCTCCACCTCTTAAAAGTGACACACAACCGATTTGTTCAAAAAAGTTTTTATGTCAGCTATAGTGATTTGCGAAACCCGTGTAACAATTAATTATTTAAATTTTCATATATATGCACCATTAAGAGTGTGTATTAAATTAATGAACGCAACTTTTAATAACTTACTACACAGTTTAAATTAGCTTTAAGATATAAAAAATCTACTTACAAGCTACTATAACTCAAGAATTTCCGGCAGAACAGATAAACATAATAGTTTCCAGTAACATAAAAAAGTAAAAAAAAAAAAAAACTTTGATTGCATTTAAAAACCTTTGAGTCAGGCTATTAAATCCCCACCATGAAAATTGTAATAAAAATAAATACTGCTGTTGCTAAATAACTTATCACAGCCTTACATCTACTGCTTAAAGAAAAGGTTGCCTACAAAAATGTAGAATCCGTACGAACAACAGTAAGGAAGAAAAAAGAAAAAAATGCAGGTACACTTGTTTTATACTATAACATTCAGTATAAGTAATTCAAAGATTTATTAGGTGGGTGTAAATTTGCAATAACAGACAGGCCAGGGTGTATAAAATTAGGTCGTACAAAAGTACAGCCAATAAAAACTTAAGTAGTAAACGTTGCCAACTAGCCTGAAGCAAAATATTAAAGGTGTATTAGTTAATAAACCAAAAAAGTATAGTTCTGAGCATACCAGTGGAAACCATGTTAACTCGATTAATTGAATAAAACACTTCTTTAGAGAGTTACTAAAACCTAAAAGCTGGAGATTACTTATACAAACTACTAAAGATGAATAACTTTATATGATGAACTTACTGTAGAGGTGTTCAAGAAAAATACTTTCTCTTACTAGATTTTTTAGTTTAATAATGTAAAAAACAGCAAATTCTTTCCACGAAGAAAAACTAAAAAAAATAAAAACCAGTAAAAGATCACAATTTTATAAAATACAATACCATAAGGCTTGCATATATTTTTCATTTGAGAAAAAAGGCAAACAAGAAAGTTTGATGTACTGAAAATTTCTATAGTTATATCGCACAGTTATACATAGACTAAGAAAAGTAGTATAGACACTTTTTGAGATGTTTTTCTTCTTTTTGTTTTGTAATTTAGAGTTAACACGAGGCGATGAAACTGTAATTAGAAGACTTTTTTCCCTCAAAACTTGATGGCAATACGCTTGAAACCCAGAAAAACTCGTCATGATTCACATAACAAAAAAAAATCTTATCACTTTGCGTAGAATGCAAAAACTAGGCATGACTGATTTCAAGTAGCCCCAAGATACGTTTGCGAACGCGAGGTTTTACTAAGAGCAAAGCTAAATAGTACAGACCACGGTCAATTTAACCTTTTTTAGAACCTTATTAGTTTTAGCTTCAGATTATGAAAGGAAAACGTTAACCTGAGATCTGGAGGTCTTTATCTAAGGCATTGTTTTGAACAAACCACGGCACATCCGTCACAAGGCGTAACAGCTTGTTTTTTTGTCTCACTCGAAGCGAAGAGACTAATGCCAAATGACTCGTAGGCCCAGGCAGTAGACGCGTATATCGTGATCGGTCAAGTGCACAACTAACATGAGTCGTTTGTTGTGCAGCGAGAATTTACTTCGAGCATAATAAAAAGGGCAAAGAGTTTAAACCACCCCTTTGTCCTTCGCCGCCATATAGTTAAAGTGTGATCTCCACGAGAGCTTATTGCCAGTAATGACCCCCAGGTATCCGCCTGGAACGCCAAGGAATCACCTTATTTTCAAAGGTCAGCGGTGGTAGTGAGGAGTGTGCTTCCTTGTGGTAAAAAGGGCTTTGCACTTTTCCGCATTAATAGAAAATTTCCCATTAAGACAACTGTTGGCGAGTGTCACTAGGTAGTACTGCAGATGCTGGCGCGATAGGGCATATGCACATGGGCCGACTTAAGGAGAAACGATCTGCAATAGAAGAGAAAAAGCGAGAGTGCTAGTGTTCTTTATATGCTCTCATGTAAAGGGGAAAAAAAACGATCATTTATGTTATTATATACTACACTTATTTAAATTACTTCGCACTATGCCGTCTGAGTCGAGCAAATTTGGTGACTAGTTAAAGGGACTTCATATGCAGCAAATTTGTTTATTTATATATATTCTACTTATCAGCACATCGTATACCCAAAAGCCTTTAAAATTTGGTCACATAATAGAAAGTTAACACGTTGAAAATTTATGTATGCAGCATTAATGTAATAAAGTTATTCTTTCATGTGTTTTTTATATACAAGCCTGGCTAAAAGCTTAGAATGTTAGTTAACACAAGACTTCTTAAATAGTTATATTTCTCTAGTAAAGCTTATTCCTTTTCTTAAAAAGAAAGCTAACTTATCAGAAGCTCCTATCTTTATGTATTACACTTAATCGTATAGTTAAAAGGGCCTCACAGAGTTTAAGAGATTTATTTTTTTTTAAAGCTCGAAACTCAAGTTGAAAGGAAGATGGGCGGAGTTATGTTTCATATAAAAATTTTAGCTACAAGCTTAAAAAACAGGAATTTTAGAGTGCTATAGAAGATTGTATAATATCTTAAGGGAATATAGCTGGGATGGATGAAGTTATCGCTGTCAAGGCTATTTTTTTCCAACTTGATTTTCGTTTCTTCTAGCAAATAGACACAACTACCCAGCAGAATGGAGATAAAATAACAAATTTGCTTAAAAATAATACAAAGTAAGAACCTGCTTAAAATATAAAACCACTTTTTCAGGGGTAACAAGAAGGCGGTATCCCACACATTTAATAAATTCGATTTCAAGAGAGTTCAGCTCAAGGAAGTGAAGCCCTCCTGTAAAAAATAATCAGTTTTAAGAAACTTGCAAGCTATAACATAAGTGTCATATACCGACAGCGGCATAGTGCCTATTCGTAAAGTACCGATCCTGAGTGAACTTGGCCGCCTTTTGAGTTCGTTAAAAAAAGGAATAATAGAAATTTGGTAAGATTGAAACCAGCATTAGGCAAGTCACGATCAAGCGATGGGCGTTATACGAATTGACGCAATAAGAAGGATCGCGGGCACTTATTAGATCCAAGTAAACCAGCATTATGATGTACAACTCATTTCCACAAGAGGCATGTTGCGCAAATCTATCAAAAAATTTCAGCGCAAGAATGCCAGTCTCCCAAGAGTATGATCACCTCGTCAAATAATCCCGAATAGAAATGGAAGGTGGTGTTGAAACGTAAAAAAGCGTCGTTTCGGTTCTGCTGGCTGTGGCGTTGTTCCTTTTCTGTAAGAATAGCAATAAACGGAGAGCCCCCTAAACTAAATTTTGTGAGGAATACAGCAAGTTGGTCGAGTATAGAAGCTAAAGTGTCTATCAGCAGAACGGAATTAATCGAAGCCAAAAGGTTCAACGGCCGGTGGTACAAAGGTCCTTCCTTTTCCCACCACGAAGCAGAGGCCAACTCTCCAAGACTTGAAACTTGACTTCCAGAATTCTCTTCTTTTAGGTGTTCTTCAGGTTTCACTAGTTTATTACGATCTGATAATCGCATCATATTATTACTGCAATGAGGGGCTTTTCGCTTTTCATTAGCTAAAATCGTTTGGGTTCGTTGCTTTGAACCAACTAATCTAGTAAAAGGCAATACCTTTTTGACAGGCAATTTAGTAAAAGCTTCATTAGGAAAGGCTTGAGTGTTGGCTAGTATTTTTTTATCATCATTTCTAAGCGAAGTGGTATATTCACCCTTATCTAAACACTGAGGCGCTGGAGGAAAATTCAAGGGAGTTTGAGAACAAGTACATAAAGTATGAGCAGGAATAGTACGCCCATAAAATTGCTGAGGCTGGGTAGGTGGCATCACAAAAACTTTATTCGGAAAATAATAACTCTGACTTTTCAGGCCTTGCGGAGGCCCACCAGCAAGATGTTGAGAATAATGCAAATGTTCTGGCAAGTAGTAAGAAGTTTCTTGTTCTTGAATTTGTTCACTCACAAAGTTTGACTCTGGAGATGCCAAAAAGAGGAGGGGTTTAAGTTGTTTTAAATTATTCTTTTGTTTGGCGACAGGAGTAGAATCTACACGCAATGAATGAAAATCCGCAGTAACATAATCTTTTAAAGTATTGTAACTTTCAACGGCATTTTTACTTAGTTTCCTCTTCAAAAATCTTAAAGGCTTAGACTGCTCCTTACATAAACAAGAGCGCTTAGTTGTGTAGTCAGGAAGAGCTTGTTTTTCTTTAAACTCTTGTTTCTTTAACTGTTTTTCCAGAAAATTTTGTTGTTTTCGTAGTTGCCGAATTTTTTTTTTAATAAAGACGGGATCATGAAGTTTATTTTTATCTTTTTTTTTATTAAGATTATCACTTGTAATGACGTCTTCCACAGGTGTTAAACTAACAGAGGCATCTTATATATAAACAAATTACAATAAATATTATACTTGACAACATATACTTATTACCACACTAAAGTAACAAAATAGTTTTAATAAATTTTTAATATAAAAAAAAATTAATATATAAATGAAATATAATAAAAAAGTTAACTATAAATCTTTTTTTACTTAATACTTACAATTTTTAGAACTTGCAGCATCCTCACCCAGCGCCCATTGATTACTTACACACTCGCTAGTTTCCGCCATTAACACAGTCTCCCTCTTACTTTGGCATTATAAGCTCCCATTCCGCTCAATTGTCGGAACCAATCAATTGTTTAAAAACTGTTATATCAAAACTAAACAGTTGAAATTATATTGGGATGCGTGAACACCTACAGAATTCTCAAGGAGAGTAACTTCATGTTAAAGTGTAAAACGAGACTGTTCTGTTTTCCGATTTAGTAACAACTTATTTTTAAAGTAACAATATAATGCGGAGCTATCCTTATACGTGCTTGTATATATACTCCCCTCAATAGTGAAGAAGTAAAAACAAAATTAAAGTTGATATAATGCTACAAAAAGAGATTGAATATTAGGTGCATAAAAAACGGGTCTAATAAAGTGATAAAAAAAATTACATTTCTTTAACCCAAATTTTTAAAATATATGCTTTTTATAATAAATGTAAGATAATCTTTTCGGATTTATTTTTTTCAAATTGGAAATATACTATATTTAATCTTTTAAAAAAGCTAGTAATAATAATGCTGCGTCATAACTGTATATATTTTTTTTAAGTTTCTAACTGAATAAGCATCTTGGAACATATGTAAACGTGAAATCTGCTTGTTGCTATTGCGTGTCTTATAGTACTCAAAAGTACTAGCTCTTTACTGATAGTTATCAGCGATTTTATAGTAAATGCTATGGTTAAAGGGTCGAATAATATAGATGTATTTTAATTCATTAACGTCGTTTATTTGTTTTAAAAGCAATTCTGAGCAGCCCGAAGCGACTACATAAAAAGATTTGTTTGCACATTGGAAACGTAACTAAAAGTAACACCCTGAGGGCTCATAAAAGCGTGCCAAAAAAAGTATCGTCTATATATGTAATTTTTTCTAGTCACAAGATAAGGCCAAGTGCAAGTTTACATTGCTTTGTACTATTGTACAAGCGAGCTTTTTCCTTTAAAAGTTTTTCTTTAAGCTAGTATAACGGAAATGCATTGGCGCGGTCTTAGTTTTCAAAATGTAAAAGCGTGGTACTCTATACTTCCTTTGCTTTTATTTTTTTTTACTCCCATCCTTTTTTTAGGTTTCCTACTGTACTGTCCTGGACAGCCTTCAGCTTTTTTGGAATCATTCTATTGACGCAGCCTACAGCTATCTATAGTAGGCTACCGTTTGTTGGCAACCGCTATAGAAGCGAAGATTTTGGAAGCTAAGTTACTTCTTATAATAAATAAATAAATTACTCAAGGGGCAAAGCTTAACATTTTAACTGTTATTAAAATTTAATAAAAAGAGATAAAAAAGAAAGGCCGAATCAATATTTTTACGACTATATACTACCAATAATTTAGTCTTATTTTTTTAGTATTTAACTTTTGCTTTTGTAATAACTAAACTATAATATGCATTCAACGTTTTTTTTAGGATTGAAAGTTTTTACCAATAACCCTTTGAAGTTAATGTAGATATTTCAATGAACTTTTTCATAAAAATTTTATTTACCAAGTAAGAATAAAATAATTGTTTTTTGGTAAAGTAATTCTTTTGCTATAATATAATAATGTAACCTAGAAATTTAGCACTAGATTGGTAAGAGTATCCTACACCAAAAGGCTTTTTACTTAGGAAGAGGCTTAGGTGCTCCTTAACCTTCTAGTTTAAAAAACGGTCAAGCTTGTTATTTTAAAGTATAAATACTTTATACTTCCCTTATATTAAAAAATTAAAGTTAGTCGTGCGACTCTGACTGTTACTTATAACTTTTAAGTGTTCTTCATCTTAAATGGACCTTAATCTTTCCCGATCTCCTTATTAACTCCGCTTTTAAGAAAATGTTAAAATACTTGTATGTAGGGCCTATAAAGACTCAGCTTAATAGTTTTTAAGCCTATTGGCTTGAAAGTATATAGGCGATTTGTACAAGATAGACATTTTTAGTTGCTAGAAATAGTTAGAAGGTAATACTAAGACACCAGTAGACTAGCTTGTAAAGATTTAATTTTTATCATTGTGATCTTTTGATCATTTCCCTTTACTTTAGTTAAAAAAAGAATCTTTACATCAGAACCGTATTATAAGTAATTCCTTTCTTTCTTCCAGTCAGTGCTTTGGGGAGGTAGGGACTAAAATTGGAGCGCGCAACTCCAAGGCCAAACCTTATGTTTTGTATATAACTTGAGCCTATTATCACAGAAAAAAGTTATTGTATCTTTGGCAGTGCTTCGCCCCGATTTCTGTTTTATCGCCTTTAGATAAAGCAACCTTGCTATAAATTTTTTTTGAACTTATACGCAATAGATAGAAAAAATACGTAACCTGTAATAATATAACTTTTTGCCAATTTTAAATTCAAATACTGGTCTCTTTACTCTTTTTGTTTACCTTTTAAAGCCCGAGCACCATTTTAGAAAAAATAACTGGGCGCTTTTTTATACTTATTAGATAAAAAAACTAGGGTTACAGAACCTTCTATATTTGAAGTCAATAATACGCCTCAAGTTTCCTTTTCTAGTTCTAAAAAAAGAAAGCGGTAAAAAGTTTACTTTTCCTTCTAGTCTACCCCTTGAAAATCTATTATAAGGCCTGGACAATGGGAGAATATATTCAAACTTTTGGCAGATATATAGTTTATGAGTTTAATGTTTTATTCAGAACGAAGTTTAAAAATTTGCAGAGTAAGGCGGGCTTAAAAGAAAATTCTTTGCCAGGGCTAAGATCTAAATATAAAGTAAATTTTCGGCCTCCAGCGTAAAAGTGTAATACACGGACAATAAAACTAACCATGTTGTAAAGGTGTAACACTGGTTGACTGGTCGAGTAAACTCCTATATTTTAACCGAGTTTTCGCGGCGGTAGAAACAGAGGTTAGCCTGGTAGGTTGAATATAGTCATCCCTTTGAGTCGGGCGTAATGCCTCTGTCAAAGTTAAAGTCATTTTGGCTGGGGAGATTTCTTGTTTTCAATAAGGCCGAGCTTTTGTTGCGACCAGCGAGAAATCTAGTTAGCTCTTCTCATTTAAAAAAAATTAGCGCTAGTTCTGTTTCTACTCCTGAAACAAATGTTTTACGCTATTATGAGGCTCAACAAAACTTTCGAAAAGAAAATACTACTATCTGCACGCTTTATGTGCTCAGTGCATTTGTATTTTTCATTGGAGGCACTTACGCTTTTGTTCCAGTTTACAAGCTAGTTTGTCAACAAACGGGGATTGTTGGAAGCTTGAAACGCAAGGTAGAAAAAAAAAATTGGTTTGTATATTATAAAAAAACTTCAGTAAAGCTCTAAAATTTTTAATATTTTTTGAAGCTGTTAAATTCTAAAATAGGAGGTTGATTTTTCTAATGTCACTCCCGTACTTGAAAGACCTTTGAAAGTTCGTTTCCTAAGCGATATTAGCAAAAATATGAAGTATTTAATATATATTTTTTAACATTTGCGAAATATTTGAGAATTTATCTTTCATATTATTTAGCTGGAAATTTTATCCCGAGCAACAGTATGTAAATGTTTATCCAGGAGAAACTGCTTTGGCTTTTTACAAGGCAAAAAGCAATTCTGACAGAGCAATCACAGGTTTAAGCACATACAACGTCATCCCATTTAATGCAGCGCAATACTTTACCAAAATTCAGGTGGACATCTTTAGAGATCCTTATAAAGCTTTGATTTATTTAACTTTAGTAGTGTTTTTGCTTTGAGGAGCAACGCCTGTTACCTAATGAAGAAGTAGACATGCCGGTTCTTTTTTCTATTGATCCAGAGTACGTCAACGATCCGGAATTAGCTCATGTGAACGAGATAACTCTTTCTTATACGTTTTTTGAGTCTAAAAACTTTAACTATGAAGAGTGGCTAAAAAAGCAACCGGAAGCTAAAGCTGCGCTCAACTAAAATGCGAAACTCATTTATTTTGTTTGGTTTGCATAATAAACATCATAAAACAATTTTTATTGCGCAGTTCCGCTGTAAATAAATTAGTTCCTCGGAACTAAAGCTGCAAGGTCATTGCCTGTTTAACCAAATTTTTAATGACTTGCGGCTCAGACACTGTAGAGCAGTCTCCGAGCTTCTGTTTTTTCACCCTGCTGAATATATCTCTTAGCAGTCGTCGCATTATCTTTCCAGAGCGGGTTTTGGGTAGGCTCTCTACCACCACGATTCTTTCAGGAGTAGCAAAAGCACCGACTTGCTGGCGTACTTTAAGCTTCAGGTCATTAGTAAGCTCTACCATTGCAAGTTTGAGCTTGAGATTAGGCACGCTGTACAAGATTATCTCACCTTCGTTGAGGGTTCCTTGAGGGCGAAGTACGCAAAACACCCAGATGCTCTGCCCCTTGACTTCATGGTCGATCCCTACAGCGGCCACCTCCGCGATGTCTTTGTTTAATGCAATGGCATTCTCCACTTCTGAAGCTCCTTTAGAAAAAAAAGAAATCGAGCCATATAACTTAAAAATAGTTAGCAAAATATACCTATTCTGTGGCCAGAGACGGACATGACGTCATCTATACGCCCAACGACCCTACAGCACGAAACTGAGAAAATTTAAAAAATGATCCCTATAAAAGGTTTACCATAGATATCCGTCCTCATCGAAAAAACCGCCTATTTTTCCACTGGATTTAGTATCTACAGCACTGCATAGCACAAACTCGGAAACTTACTATCTCCAGCCGTATAGTGACCCGGAAACACACTAAAGTACGACTTCTCAAAGCGGTTATGATCTTTAAAGATTGTGCGCATAATTCCAGGCCACGGCCTATCGAAAACGATGCAGCCTTCCTGCCCTGCGGCTGCGGGTGTTCCCTTCAATGCGTGAGAGCGGGTTAGCAAGCAGCCAGAAAGCGAACTACTAAGCTACGCTGATCGTACATCGGGATTAAGGACTTGCACTTGCACACCGAAAAAAGGCAGTGCGCAACTGCCTGGTTTAGCGGGTGCTGCTCCAGGAAGCGGCGAGACCATGAGCCCTACAATTTGGAGTCACACACACTTGCTCGATTGCTTTATAAGTCTGACCTCCAGTTTCCGTTTGCCAGTAGGTATCGACTACTGCGCACTTCTGCTTTCCCACAGCTTTGTAGTACCAAAGCCAAGCCTCCGAGTTAATCGACCTGAAGTAATAAGCGAGGGATAGGGGAAGGAAGGAGGGGAGCCGAAATTTGAAACACGGTCGTACTCGCCTACTGTGCCAAGGACTCTTAGTGAGGAAAGATCGTGCTTTTCAAGAAAATGACTGTCTAGCCCCATCAGACTTCGGATGGCCGTCGGCGCAGTATAAAATTGCGTTACTGCGTACTTCTCACAAATGCTCCAAAATCTTCCCCCGTCTAAGAGAAGACATTATAAGAAAGCCGCGCAATTGCTCCAAAGTGAGCAACTAAAATAATTTATAATTCTAACCTGGATAAGTTGGGATCCCTTCAAAGAGAATGGAAGTAGCCCCGTTGAGCAAAGGGCCGTAAACTGTAAAGACGAAAAAATGAGATCCGAAGATCGCTAAGCAAGCTGTGCAGTTTACTCGTATAGGTGTGGCCTGTGATCCAACCTACTGGGAAAATAAAGCAAAAAAAGGCAGCCTATGAGCTGATATTTTAATACAAGTGCGCACCTATGTCTGCCGTGCACCAGAACACGTCTCCTTCATGATAGTCAAAAGCATAACGGTGGGTTAAAGAAGCGTAAACCATGTATCCTATATATAATAGGTTAACAACTCACGAAAGAAAAATTATATTACTAGCTCCAGAAAAACGTTTTGAAGTACGAAATTAACATATAACTAAGGCAATAGATAATCTTTTATAACCCTTTTGTGCGAAGAAAGCAAACAAATTTTTGGCCAAAGTTAACGTTATTACAATGCTTAGTGGTTGATTTTTATTGATTAAATAATAATTTTCTTACTGTGAAAAACGCTTCTAAGACTACATGTACTAGTATAAAGGACGGCATTACAGTATTATAACACCTATTTTTATAAGCATTAAGTATTTAAGTTTTTAAGTATACCTGCAATAGAATGGAGAACTCCTTTAGGAGTGCCTGTCGAGCCGCTTGTTGTATAGCACAATAATATTTATAACAGAAAGATTAGTAGAGTTATTTTAATTAACCTAGTATATAGGAGAAATAAAGGATCTTCAGAATCCAGCCACTCAACAGAGCACTCACTTTTACAGGTGTCGACTAAGTTATCCCAGCTTATAAACTTTTCATCTTCTGCTTTAAAACCAACCCAGTTTTTTAATATTACTTTACTCACAACTAAGTTGTTATCCTTGCAAATCCCTATAGCTTTTTGGACTATAGGGATGAGTGGGATTTGTTTAGGCCCGCGAAGAATCCCATCTTACAAAGATGCTTAAGAAATAAGGTGTAGTGTCTTAATAAAGAGAGCTCACCAGCAGTTATTATGCATTCTGCTCCTGCGTCTACTATTCTAATGGCGAGTGCTTCAGAAGAAAAACCTCCAAACTACGAATATAATAGGTATTACTTGCTCTTAGATTATAAATAAGAAGAAAAACGATAACAGTTAGACCCTAATCGGTTAGCTTACCACCACCGAGTGCACGGCACCGATGCGTGCGCAGCCAAGTACAGCAATTATGAGTTCAATAATCATTGGCATATATATGATTACACGGTCCCCTTTTTTAACGCCAATTTTTAAAAGGGCATTCGAAAATTTGCACACCTTTTGAAGAAGCAACCGATATGTGTATGAAGTAAAGGTATTGGGCTCATTTCCTTCAAAGTAAAAAACCACCCTTTCACCCTTACCCTCTTGAATATGCCTATCTAGTGCATTGTAGCATATATTTGTTTTACCGCCCTCAAACCATTTTATAAAAATGGGCCCATTTCTCACATTAAAATTATAACTTAAAACTCTTTTCCAGCTAATGTTCCAATAAAATTCACTGGCTACTTCACCCCAAAACTTTTCTGGGTCTTTAATAGATCTGGTATGCATTGCCCTGTAGGATTCAATTGAATTAATGTGTGCCTTTCTGTTAAGAAGCCTAAAAGGAACATCTACGACTGTATCCATCTTGTTCTTTGGATGTACTTTAGCCGATGACATCTAAGCTTTAAAATATTAAGTTAGCGAGTTACATTAATAAGTTAACTTTAATAAAGGCAAGAGGTTTTAAACAAAAAAAATTAACCAACTGAAATAGAAAGCTTTAACCATATAGAATTTCGTATAATATGCATAAATATAATCAACGTCGTTTTTATATACACCAAAAATGAGTACCTTTTAAACTCCACATAAATGGCCGGTAGTCTACCGCATATGGTAAAAAAGTTGGTTAAAATAGTAACTGATAAATACCGCTTAGAGGACTGGAGGATTACTCAATTCACTCGCTTATAATATGAAATACAATTAAATATATCTCTTAGTATAATAAAAACTATTAATAAGCACATGCACACTACTAAGGCGTTAGTAAGGCCCACAAAGATTCTCAAGAGTAGAGACCACTTTTGCCATAGAAGACAAATATATAACCAACTCAATATTAGAGGTTAAATATATCTTTTAATCACCACATTACCACATTAATTAATAAAATGGTAATTTTGATTATTAAATTTTTATTGTCGCCTTTCAAAATATAGCAAACTGAACTTTATCTTTTTACACAAGATTCTTCCAGTTGAAATCAATACCTAGAGAAACTTTACCGTAGCAAAGAAAATTTTACCTTTAAAATGTTTTGGGATATATATTATAGTTACTTGGACAAAAAAAGTGCAGTCTTTTGAAGCAGTTAAGTGCAAAAAAGCGTAATAAGTTTATATTAACATAATAATCGGCGTGTGTCCTTTTAGTAGGTAGATTAGGCCTCTGGTTTTAAAATAAAAATCTGAATTTTTTCTTTTATAAGAAAAAATCTGTATGCTAACTAAAAAAAAAGATAACTTAAAATAGCATGTCTTTTATTTTCGTATTCCTTATATAAGTTTACTATTATTTTATTTCCTTCCTCCCCCTAGTTATTACTCAAAAAGGTTTAAAGGTCAAGCTGCTTATAAATTTTGCCCCTTCTGTAAGCAAGTGGTAGTCAAAAATTATGCAATATTTAAACGCAATTTACGGTAAAAAGTTAATTAAAATGGCCTGAATAACTTAGTCAAACTATGCAAGGCTTAATTAAATACTCAACCAAGTCTTATAAGTGTAGGCACCCCTCGTATAACAAAAGAGTAACATTTTTAAGATGAAAAAAGATTTTTATAGGTACTCAAAGTTTTTACTTCATTTACCTAAAAATGCTCAAAATTTTTAAACTATTAAGAGAGTGTAAGTTGATGTTTTCCGAAAGTTGTAAAGCTGTCACCGACGTTTCTTGTAAGTTTCCAAAACAGAAAATGTGGATTTATTAGCCTTAAAAAAATCCATTGGAGAATAAAAGGCGCTTTTCTAAGTATCTGAAAAACTAATTGCCTATTAACTACTTGTGAGTAAATTCCTAGAGTTTGTTTGTTAAGGTTATTCATGATAATGCTCTAGCATCCAAAATTTCATTTAATTCGGTAACTCTTTGTTAACACAGTTTTAATAATAAAATTATGAGCGCTTAATATTTATTATGCGATTTATTAAACTATTGAAATGTCTATTTTAAAAAAGATTTTTTAGTTGTAGAGAATATATTTTAAAACATTAAACTTTTTTAAAACCACTAGAATTAATTCGATGGTATGTAATGAAAATACGTTAATATTTTCACGGTATCATATGAATAAATTTTTTCTTTCTTTTGTTACTGAGTTTTCTTTTTAGTAGCTGTCAAGTTTTACGAGTTAATTAAAATCTTTTCAAGAATAATTATGAGGTTATCTTTAAGGCACAACGCTATATATTAATGGGTTGGCCCAAACACTCACGAAGAGGTTCTATAAACCAGCGCATTAGAAAAAGAGCCAGACAATGAAGACCGTTCCTCTTTTAAGCAGTTATGAAAAAACAAAATTGCGCTTCCCCAGCCGAAAACGACTCAAGTGAGGCAATACTTTTCGCCGATTCTCTTGCTGCCGACCGTTTGTACTTCACTTTTCAATGAACTACATATTAAGTTGAGCTGCCCTTCGGCTGTGCAGCAGAAGATTGTTGAAACTCTACTAAAACGGAAGGCACCACCAAACTGCTGTCTTGTGAAAGTCTGCTACTAACAGAGTCTAACAGTAAGATAAACATAATAAAAAGGGATAAGGGCTAATTTATTTAGATAATTTATATATATATATATATATAAATTCCTATTATCCCGAAATATTCTTGATGTACTGAGGGTTTGAAACGTCTGGAAGAATTTATAACCTTTCAAGATGTTAACTAGTACCTCTGACACCTTTCATTGCCATGGAAGAATAGCTACTTCCGTGATGTTGTAATTACGAATTAGGTACCGGTCCAGCTTCTTTTGGCAGCCGGCAGTGGTTGAATCCGCTAAGCCTCGTCGCATTTAATAGTTCATAGTCTCTTGCTTTATTTTACCTATGTTCCGCAAAGACTTAATTGATACTGAAAAAGCTTTGAATGAGCTTGGCACAAGGGCTTATTAAACAAACTGCAAGTCCACAACTTCGCATTTCGAGGTGTCCAAGCCTATCTTGTAAACCACATTTATCTCAACTCGAAACTATTTAAGTGCAAAGTTAATAAGCCTACTACTATTGTAGTCTTAAGTCAGTTAGCTTCCTGCCTAAAAAGGATTTTAAATGATAGACAACGCTTACTATCAGAATTTTTGTTTGTAAGTTGTACACGTAACCCCCCGACCAGAAATATGCGAGTTTGGACGCCCGCGGGAATCAAACCCGTGACCTCGAATCGCGAGTCAATGCTCCTAACCGCTGAGCTCGACGACAACTCCGATCCCGGTGTGATTGTTTCACGTATTTAGTCTGTTATACCTCGTTCCTAATTTTAATTAGCTATAACATGGAATGGCGTACCACCGTAATCTTCGTGACGTGCTTTGAATTTTTATGACTCTTAAAATAGGGGTAAAGGTTTCAAACTAAGAATAAGAATAAAATAAATTAACTTTCAGTAATCAGAAGTTTGGGATATCGTGAATGCAGACGAGCTTATCATATTAAAAGTTTCACCTTCATACAACTATTTAATTATCTATTTGTTAAAGTTACTCTAATAACAAAAGTATAGTCTATTATTTTAGTTTTTTTACAAAAGCTCGGGACTCGGTATATATATTGACCAGGTTAAGCCAAGGAGATATACGACAATAATATTTTTCTTTATTATTTTGTAATTTTTAGATTTGTTGTGCTACCCAAAATTCTTTAAAGTTATAGTCTTTAATATACTATATCAAAAGTAGGCCGCCAACTTTTTTAAATTATATTCTGTATGCAAAAATGAATACTTAAATTTGATACAACAGCCCTTAATACTTGTTAAAATCCAAGTTTGCTTCTAACTTACTTGTAAAGGCGGGACAGTCTAGTTAATCTTTTAAACAATATTTGTCTGCTTCAATAAATATTTTTTTGACTTTATACTCGTCTACAAGTACTTAAAAAGCAGAAAAATTCAGTAAATTAAATAAAAAAGGAAAATAGAAGACGATTGCATTCTACACCATGACCGCCAATGACACTAATTTTACTTACTTTCAAGGTACGTTTAGTCCTAGGACCAGGAACGACCCACGGGAGTTGAAGGAGTCGGAGTCTCCCGTCTTGGTCAGGACACAACTTCCGACGCTACGGTGCAACGAAAGAATGGAAATTACCTTCCATACTTTTTGTGTTTCGTTCTCCTTTAGTTGAACGAGCTCCTAGATTATTAACAAGTCTGGGTAAGAACACTATTTAAACCTAAAACGAGCTCATTTTGCAAAATAAAGCTCTGGCGTTATTCCTGGCGAGTTCCCATGGGTAGCAATATCTAAGGTAATCATTAGGGCTCCAGTTAAAATGAAAGAATACCTGTTCGTGTAATGTCACCTCTACGACAATCAAGGCCTTCCTTTGATCTGGGGCCAGTACTGCCAATGCTGCTCCCTAATGGCCACTGGAGTACTATTGCTGAAGCTTTTGTCCAGATTAGAAATAAAGTATCCTGAGCTTAAAAGCGGCTGCAGTCCCTTCCTTAGATAATCTAGGCTCATTTTTTCCTTCGGCTTCCTTCTTGGAATGAACTAGTATTCGAAAACTTACCTAGTATACTTCAGCTCCTAATGTAAAATATCCATTTTACAAACATTATTACTATAAACTTTAACTATGTATTAAAAATTATAGAGCTTCATTTAGTGTCTCGAAGTTGTAATTTAGATTAAAAAAGAATAATTATTAATTTTGGAGTATGTTACATAGTTTAAAGCAGTTTTAAAAAAAATTAAAAAATATAGTTACTTATATACTCTTATATTGACAAGTCCTATTAAACTTTTTGGAGTTGAGGTATTTTAGGTATAGCTAAATTGGAGTTGGTTTAAACCTAAGAGACTTTTTTTTTAATATAAGTAATGTCTTCACTATACAAAATTTTAATTGCGAAAAAAACATTTACAAGATATTGAAAATTAGTACATTAAGGAAAGCTAAACAGCTGGGAATACTTGACCTTAAACTTATTTGATTTCCTTAATACAATTATTATAAAAAAATTAATATATATATCTAATGACAATATTAACGGAATTTATATTTAAGTATTTTGTAGGTTATATAAATCTTACAAAACTATACAAATTTATTATTCAGGGTATAGAACGGATAAAGACGTGTTTTTTTTTTTAAATAACCAAAAATTACTTATTTTAAATGGAAAGTTTAATAGACTACTTTAATACTACACAGCTAAAACTACTTGACAATATTGCAAGACATATGCATAGTAAGAAGTTACTAGTTCATGGTCTTTACTAAGTCTCGAAAACTGCGGTTTTATCGTTGGGTTTTTGGGCGTACGCGACCAACAGTTTAAACTCTATATGTACTGATTTTAAGCTACAAAGAGACAGACAACCCAACAGCTTCCGCTATAATAGGTAGACACTAGTAAGAACCTCTACAACTAGGAAGTAATCTTGGTTTTCAAACGTACTCAAGCCTTCGTTTTATTGGCTAACACCACTTTCATGTTTTAATGAAAATGGAACATTTTTCTGTAGAGAAACTAGTTTGAGTCTAGTCAGTCGAACTCTAAATTTCACATAAAAGACAGTAGTTACATAGTTAGATAAGTATTATTAGAAATCCTTTTTATTCGTTTTTAAGATTATAAGACTTACCGTTCAGCTTCAAATAGTTTTATGTTCAAAAACTTATTCTTCTCACATTAGTGTAAAAATGTTTTTATTTACACTTGATACATAAGTTAAGTTTCATTAAAAGTAGAATAACTTTTTTTGTCAACCAAACTTACCAACATTTAAATTTGGCTTTACTCGCGATGAATGACCGTGTGCAAAAGAATAACGTCTTGCCTACTAGAATGTATTATTCAAGAATTATAGTATTTTTAATAATTTATATTTAAAAATATTTAAAACGTTTAGGGTCTTATTAACCATGAAACTTCGACTTAAGAGCGCGAAAAAAGGGTACAACCTGCTAAAGAAAAAAGCGGAAGCCCTCCTTTTTAAGTTTAGATCCCTGCTAAAAGCTATAATTAAAGTAATATATGTAATATTATTATAGGTAACGGGTTATAAATTTTATTATTTTTCTGTTTTCAGTACTAATTGGAACAGCCTTATAATAATTGTTTAAGAAGTATTAACGTTTATAAGGAACTAATAACGTAAAGAAATTAATAATTTTTAAAAAAAACTTTAACACCTTTCTGGTATAATAAAGGCCCATTACATCTAAATTCTTATCTTCACCACTTTATATTCTCAACCACGACAGAGCAAATCAGTGTTGTGCACAGAGTTACAAGAGGCTTTTATTTCGATGGCTCAAGCAACTTTTCAAGCGGGGGACTTTTCGTAAGTAAACTGCTTTTAATTTTCATTCGTATTAAGTAGAATTATAGAATTAAAATTTTTAACTAAAAATATTGAACATAATAATTTTATTACTTTGGTATATGAAAAGAGCTTTTACTACAGACACCTTATTTTGGAGAATTCTACCACTCCGACTATAAAAGTGCGCATTACTACGGATATTGTCGCAGGTGTTAAACTTCCTGTTTTCCAACGGCGCCTTACAGGCACTGATGGTCCCCTTTTTTTTTAATTACTTAAAAAAGTATACAATTTTTATACTAAAGGCACACTTTTTCAGCTTACCAGTATACAGGACTCGGAAAAGGAGGCAAGCAGATCAGTGTTTGCAAAGCTAAATTTATAAAAGCCACAGAATTGCTTTTAGAGCTCGCTTCGTTGAAGGTTACCGCCTTCTTAAGCTGATCTCCCGCGTAGTACAACTCAATAGCAGTAACGCTCGTCCGGCAGACTTCCTTTCAAGCGCTAAACGAAGCGATTAAAGCCACGAGGCGGCGCGTCAATGCGCTCGAGTACATTATCGTCCCTCGACTAGAGGTGGGGATCACCTGACACTAACAACTTTTCTTGCATTTTTTTAATGTTAATTTAGAAAACGGTGGAGTATGTCATTTCTGAGTTGGAAGAAAAGGATAGAGAAGAGTTTTTCAGGTTAAAGAGAGTGCAAGACAAGAAAAAGATTAGACGAGACGCACCTACTGGTGACGGGCCGACTTATTTTGCTTAATTTTATAAAATTTTTCGTAATATTTTAGTCGGCTAACGCAAATTTGCAAAAGGTAGACTTTACCTGGGAGGCCCCTTCCGTCCAGGAAAATACCACCGATTTAATGCTATAACTAACGCAGTGAACAATAAATTTAGTTTGCTATCCCGATTAAATAAATGCCTTAATAACAACCAGAAAAGCATAAAAAAGTAAGATTATAGGTTTTATTAGTTAGCAAAGTAACGCCCAAACAGAAATCCTCCCAAGTACATGGGCAGGTCCACGTGAGAGCCGAGTAGGAATTGAAGGAGAGGATACCCCACGGCCAACTTAGCCCCGTCCACACGGAAATTTATTGGTAGATATGGCAAAGGAAAGGCTCTCTGGAACAAACAAATACAGAAGATTTTAAATTTCTAAACTTTTATAACTCCAGCGACGTACGTCTAACTGTTGCAGTTCCACCATTGACCCAATCAGGCCCATTACCGCCACGCCACCGCCAATTGACCAGCCCCTTTGGCCGCGTAAGTATTTCCATAAAATCGAAAGGGCTGATCCTGAATAAAAAAAAACGTAGATATATATATATTTTTTTAAATAAAAAGCGTTTGAGTGGTGCAGACCCGCCAGGATGGTGCCAAAGTAAAAAGTGTAGAAAGAGCGACCCTCCCAGAACTCCGCAATATAACCTTCAAACTTACATAGAAAGCAATTTATAGTCACAAAAAGATTAATTCCGAGAATAAGTAAATATAAAACCAGTTTAAGCATTAATAAAGTCAACACTAACGAGTATACATTGGCGTGGCTAAGGCCTAAAAGATTACTGTCAAACTGGAATATAGCTGTAAAGATGAGAATAGACCATTAGTAAAAAAGGTCCAAAGACGCCCAGCAGGTTTCTCAGAATCGTGGTTTAGAGCAAAATGTTTTTTCATAAAGGATAAAGGCAGTAGCCACCAGAGGATGTATACAAACATGTTAAGTAACATGAGATTTTTAAAGACATTTTGGCCATCTCTTTTATTAAAGGCGGGTAAAAAGTCGTAGAATAAGGGAGGACTTAACTCAAACCTACAGGATTTTGAAGGGGCCTCAATTAAGGCATAATTTTAGCTATATAGATATATACTCTTAAACTACTTTGAACTTTGAAAAAAATTTGTTAATAAGCATAGTGATAAAGCTAATTTTAAAAATTAAATTTTTATTAACTAAAAAAAAAAAATTTATAAGGCTATATAAACTTTAAATAATAAAAATTATATATAGTAATCACCAACGCATTATTACCAAGAATTATATAATCCGAGCCATAATGAGTCACTACGACGGCCTTTAGCAATTTTACAGAACAAAAAATTAGAGACTTGTTGATGTGGTATGTTTAAAGTCTGTTAATAAATAACTTTTTACTGCACATAATAATAAAGCAAAACGAAATTAAAAAGGTGAAGAGAAAAAAGTGACAAAGATACTTTATCACTAGGGACTGTTAAAATGGCGGCCAGAAGCAAAAAGGCAACCAACTTATTCATTAGCTCGCTTATGAAAACCTAAAAAGCACACCAAGCTTTTTTAAAATAGTGTTAAGAGCAGGTGTATGGAAGTATTATATTGCCCTTTTAGCGTTCATTCTAAATTACTCTATAGTTCGTTTTCTTCATTTTTTTAATATATTATATACAGTTATTCTTATTAAAAAAAACTGTTAGTAGTTAAGTTTCCAAATTAGTTAATTATTTCTAGGGTGAACAACTCCACGAAAGACTAAAAATATAAAGAAAAGTAAAGCGTTAAATCCCATAATTTTTTGCTGATACAAAAAAATCTGCATCAGGTTATACCTGGTGCTTTAAGAAAAAGCAACCGTCATATGAATATAAGAAATGCCATTTAAGCGAACTATGAAAGGAGACTACAAAAAAATTACAATAATAAAATATTCGTTTACTTAATAAAACGTTTTTTAATTGTTTCAGGCTTAAGTTTTCCTAAGTGTTTTTCTTACGACACGAAAACGTAAATTTTATAGTAAGCAACAAAAGCACAGTAAGAACTTGAAACAAGTATGCAAAGCTTGAAAACCGTAGGTACTCAAGTGGAGTCTACAGTTCACGAGAATTTCTTTTTCTTAGTGTCTATCTGGCTTCTTGTCAGGGTTTTTAAGTCCCAACTCTCAGCACTTTTCTTCCTTCTTTCTTATAACCTTTCTTAGTGCCTAGTCGCTAAGCACTTTTTATCCTTACAGTTTTTTACGTTCTTCCGTGGTAGAAAAAAATTACTTTAATTTCTATAACCCTTGCTAACATTTTTTTTGATCAAGGATTTGCTATTGCCGACTTACTCTATTGAACTTAGTGAAAGAAAATGAATAAACTCAGCTTTTCACGAAGTAACGCAAGGGTAAGCAATGAAACAAAGCTTTTTCAATGACGAGGTAAAGCACATCACTAGCCTAAGTATTACCTTAAAAATTTCTGTCTTCTTCCAAATTGTAGTTTATACACTATACTTACAGAGATATATAGAAGTTTAGACATGAGGCTAGTCAACAAAAAGCTATAAAATTGGAAAAAGTTTATGGATTTGGAGATTAAATTGCAGGTTGGCTAAATTTCAGTAATAATGTACTACCAAAAGGTGCAGTTAAGGTGGTGGCCATAATCTAATTGTATTTATTCTTTTTTTATTTCTATTTTTAATTAAGCGTAGGAAGTTACTTGCTGGAAGCAGGATATGTAAAGGTGCTGGCTATTTTTGTTAGAGTAACGCATACTTGTAATTTAATAATTAAATAAAGAGTAACTTAAACGATTTTTCTTACAAACATGACAATTTTTAAGAAAAAGGTCAAACATTTATATAAGTTTAAGCTGCCTCAAGAAAAGTGAAAAAATTAATTGTTAAGTTATAAAAATACAATAAGGAAATAAGTTAGCCATTACCTCTCCACACTCACGAAGGGAGCGAATGTTAGCATGTATTGTTGGGGTTATAGACTCGGTCGTGTTTGTACTCTACCGTTGGACTTACTTTTGTTATTAGTTCAGTAATTATCCCGTATTGTTCCGTTTAACTTTGAGCTTCCTAGTCTAATACACCTATACTGGTTATGATTTACTTAGTGATACATTTTAACTTAAAAATAGTAATATTCTTTCTCTTTATGTGTAAATAATACCCTGCCAACGTTTATAAACTAACGCACTTCAACTTTTCGTTATGACAAGTGCTCCTCGCTTTCACCCTATGGCACGTTTAAAAATTTTTTGTTAAGCTTATTTATAATTAGGACTACTATTTCGTTTTTGATTTTTTTAGCAGTGTTTAGAAAACCACTTTAAGCTAAATATGTTTAAACTATACTCCTTTCCGTGAACTCGAATTTGAAGTCAAAAGAAGCTAAACTGTCTAAAAGAACTAGCGCTAGTAAGATGGAAAAGATAAATTAGAAATTACACATTATATAAGTTTTTAGGGTGTTTCTTGTCCCCAATTGAAACAATTTTCTTTATAGTAAGTTTTATAAACAAAAATACCTTGTAAACCAAAACATGGATTAAAACAACTTTTGCTAGCCTTCTGTGAAAAGAAATTAATGAAGTATAATAGCTGTTGGGTCCTCTTTTTCTTGCATCCAAAGATAACTCTTTTTTAAAACTTTGAAGAATACTGATAACACGGAACTTTTCAAAGTGTGCACAAGCGAGTCATAGACAAGCCCTTGTTTCTGTGACGTAACGTGATATATGATAAGCGCGATAACAACCATCGTGTTTAATCTTTTTGCAAACTTCAGAAGGGGGCATGTCGCTTACTTACGAAAAACACAAAATATTGTACGATTTTACAAAAACCTTTGAAGTTTCCTTTACTACTAAGGTTTAATAAAATACACAGTTTTAGTTTAAAAGTTGTGTTATACTGCAATCTTGTAAATTTTATTGTAAATTTATTTTTAGTAAGCTTTATGTTATTTGTTTGTTATTTCAAAACAGGAAGGTACACAATTAAAACCTTGGGCCTCTGATCTTGAGAGAACCCAACTTATTTTATATAGTAAGTTTTAAAGGCTCTTCCTCTTTTAATTTTGGTTTAATAACATTGTTTCTTTTTAGGATTTTATGAAGCTGTCCTTAAATACTTCCAAGCACTTTTTTATCAATCAAAGATTCCCCCAATCCTTAAACTTAGTTATGATGACGCTTTTATGTGTTACAACCTTTCTTTGAGCCATAATAAAAGTAAGTTTTACCCTTTTTTATTTTTATCTTATCTTTTACTTTTTCTCTAGAAATTTTGGCTCTTTTTTGGGAAAGTCGGACGGTTGAATTACTATCGATTTCAGATAAATTTTCGCAAAGAAAAGTGTTTTTTTCCGGTGACGATAGTTTTTTGTCATATTTACTGCAAAATAATCACTTAAATATTTATATATTCGTAAAGTTCCTTTTCAAGGCAACGACTTAAAGAATTGCAAACTGGCTTGGAGCCTTGACGATCAATTCCTTGCGGTTAGTGCGGGGTAAGAAACATCTTTTTAAAATTATAATTTTATAATCTTAAAAGTACTAAATTCTTAGAATTTTTGTAAATCTTTATTAATTTTTATATTTTTTTTATATTTAAATTCATTTTGCCAATAGAAACGTTATTTGTATAGTTCAAGCCGCCAGTGGAAAGGAATGGTAAACAGAAAACGAATAAAATATTCTTCCAGACTTCGTTTTGTAGAGGTTTTTTAAAAAATTAATGGAGCGTGTCCTTTTAGGTGTCAGATTCCCGTTACTTCTGTGGCATGGAAAACGGGGGGCAGCGCGGACCTTGTGTTTGTGGAATGCGCGAAGGTTGACGAACTTTGGTAAATTTTTCAATTTCAATTCGATTTTAACTAATTTTGAATAAAAATCATGAAACCTGCAGTAGTGCCGAGCTTCTTGTGGTGGACTATTTCGGAGCCGCCTTTCTCTATACCATTCGGTTTGTAGCTAATTGGCTCCCGTTTGGTTATTTGTAGGGATCTTTTTTTTGGTAGGGGCCAGGGGGACTTCAGCCTTCACCAGTCTCTCTTGTTTCGGTCTCACCACGAGCTCGTGGTTTCTGTGGGTTTGTTTGTCTTTTCTTTGCGCTTTGAAACGCGCAGAGTCGATTCCAACCTTATTCTTTTTTAATTTTGATCCGCAGCATACGACGCTGTAAATCGACTGTTGATTATTGCTGGACTCGGCATGAGAAAAGCACGGCCACGATGTACCGCTTTCCCTCAGAAAATTTTACTATATAAAAAAAATCTTGATCCCGTCCGTTTCCAGGTCACGTACTTCCTGGCATCACTTTTTGGAAGGTTTCCTGCCGCGCTCCCTATTTCTTCCACGATGAAAGGCGAGAACTTCGTGAATTGATTATGGTGATTGGCTGCTGCACACCCGCCAGTATTGGATGCTGATAATAAACCTTTTTGATTCGAAAGCCCGCCAGCCCATTGGAGGACCTCTATCGTTCTCTGCCAAAATATATCCCATTCTGGAGCCGTTTAAACAAAACTGTATTTGTGAAAGTTCTTCTTCTGAACGACCAGCTCGCGGCGTTGAATAATCAAGTTTTTTACTGAATTATTTTTTTTTTTTTGAAGTTTTTATTTGACCTCTTAAGGGGGAAGTGCTAGTCTTTAGCATGTCATCGTTGGATATTACGACTCGATTTTCCTTAAAAAACTTGCAGGCTCTGGTCCACTCTCTCCTCCTTCCTGATTGGCCGGAGGACTTACTTTAAAAGCTAATTAATTTATTAGAAGCCATACGTGCTTGCAGCGAAGAGCTACTGTGGCGCGGAGTGCCCCAGCAAAGCTGAAGGCGGGCCTCACGAGGACGACCAAGATCGGATTAGTGACCTGCAATGGTGGGGACAGGTACCGTTCTTCTTCAGTAATTGGTTTATACTAAAGCTCACGTGCTCAGGACTGCTTGGTGGTCTCCACGTTGTCAGGGCACGTGATTCTATACGACTTTGTGAGAAACTGCAATCTGCTGGGCACTCACTCGATCCGTTTTGAGGTGCGCTTCTCCTGATTGGCGCTCTTTCAGTTTTTTATTTATTATTTGGATAGCGTGGGTGCCGGCTATCGGCTGTGGAGGACGGACGCTTTCTTGTTCTTGAATGCGAGAGGCGCGTTCTTCCTCTCGCAACTTCCTGGAAAGAGCATATGATTGGTGCTAGGCGTTTGCTCTTCTAATACAGACAGCCAATCACTACTTTGCTCTATAATAGGCGGTCTAGAGAAGGGAAGAGCACGTGGCTCTTCCTCATACTTTGGTATATTTACGAGTAGGTCCACGTGATGACTACCTTTAACAAGAAGGGGGTGTCTGCAGAGAAAGAACCTGCCGGCTCCTTGCTGCACAGAGCCATGATTTGGTTGGCTGGCCCCGAACACCGCCAGGTGCACCTGGGAAATCGCGTGTTGCTTTTTATAGTAGCGTATTATCCCCTTTTCAGGGGACTTTCAAGGTTCTCAAGCTGTACCGCCTGTACTACTTTAGCCAGAAAAGCCCGGCGGAGCTGTACAGCAGAATGGTTGACGTTCATTGGTCTTCTCTGCTTTCTTTTTAGTCACCGCCCATCATTAATAGCTCTGCACCGGTAATTTTGAGCGGGCTCAACGCCTCGCTGAAGAATATACTCTCAACACTGACGAATTGTACAAGGCCTTGTGGCGGGTTCACCAAAATGAAGAGGGCGCCGTACAATTTTATGTATCACGTGGCATTTTCTTCAACGTCGATATTATAGTAATGCCAACTTATTTCGGTTAAGCTCGACCGAGTTAAGGACAGGGATTGGGTGTTGAACGAATGCACGACCGTTGTTTTGTCCACGACGGAGATGAACAGGAGTGTCGGTTTCCTGTCGCCCCACTTCTTTTCCACATAACAGCGCCATTTTTTTAAAGCTGCTGGAGTATGCGCTGGACAATCTCGAAGCTGAGGAAGTTTCAGAGTGTTCTTCCAGTCTAATAGTACGGTCTTCCCGAGATTGCAATCGGTGCCAGTCTCAGTCTTTCATTAGCAGGCCCGTAGGCAAGAAATTCGTACAAAGTGCCGCACTTATTTAGATCGACTCCGCACCTACGAGAAAATAACTAAAAGGTGCTTAGATCCTCCGCTTCCATTAAACCGCATCTTATTGGTTCTCTACAAGTCTTCGCCTGCCCTTTGATATGGACGCCTTCCGCCACCTTCGATCCAGTGCGCTTCAGGACGTACCGCTTACTTCACCAACATTGCAACACCTTTGTGATGCTTATGAATGTTGGTAGGTCGCCATAAAATTGGCACAGCAAGGGCATGTCTCGGCGTTCAGCCGTCTGAGCTGCCCGTCAATAGCCATTCTCTTTCAGTCTCATGGCAATGAGCTTTTTAAGCATTGGTTTACTTTTATATATGAGCTTTTGGTAAGGCGCGGTCTATGAACAACACAATTTATAACATTCAGGCTATCTATTATATCCAGCATCCCTGAAACCGTGCATCCAAGTAGTTACGAGAGACTCTTGCCTTCAGTTAATGAGAAGAGAACACGTGTATGTATAACTCCCGTTTCTGGTACTCAGGAAGATGAAGGTTGGGGGCTACAAGCTGAGTTCACCTCCATCACTGCTTGAGCACGCGCTATTGATTTTTACTTGTTTATCCCAGAAGATTGCACACATTGCCACGGCATTTTAGGAGACGCCATGGAGACGCTGGACTTTGTAATTCCGTCCGTAAAGGAAGTCTCAGAATGGTGGGTTTGTTTAATATTACAGCTAACTATGCCACCTTTTTACTCGAGTAGTTTTTTTGTGTTGGTTGCCACGTCCTATTGAAATAATGTCCGTTTATCCCTCTTTCTTCGTTTCGGATCGTTTCTGTTCATCCGTGGCGTCCTGTGTCTCTTGCGCCGAGTAAAGTTTTTCCTTTTGTTAAGGTACTGTCATCGGGCGGTAGAAATTGACCGATTGTCCGGGCAACTGGAAAATTCCAAGGCCCTTATAGAACTGGGACTTAAAAAAAACGTCCCGGACTTGGTATTTCTTCTGCATGCGTTAGTAGTAAGGAAGGTTATAGCTAGAGTTACTCTAGAAATATATCCAAAGCCACCTTGCTTCGTTGTGTTATCTGGTCTATGACGCCTCAAGTGCTGCTTGTGCTGACATCTCGCTGCACGAATATATGAATTGGGTACTTGAGCTTGCTCGGGCTAATAATACTGACCAAAAGTAGCGCAATTTTTTTTTTACACGAGGATAACATGAAAAGGATAAACCTTCTCTTTGCCGACCTCTCCTCCAGTAGCACAGATTTTAACAACCGCCTCTTCCTCTCCCGTTTCAATACTTGCTTTTTTGAACTTGTCAACCTGCTTTGGTTTTTTGCACGCCAACGGCTTCTTCCCGCACTACACTTATGCTTTTCTGTGAACAGGTTCGGAGAAGACCGCTTGGATGGAAGCTACAGTGAAGCATCCACACTTAGCGGCATCAAGGGCTTGCTGTTCGATTTTATAAAGTATGCATTTCATAAGCAACCTGCACATAAATTCACTGGAGTGTATGTGGCTCCCTAGCAAGAACATCCTGTGTTATACCTCTTTATTTAAATAGGGAGCTTTCTCATAGCCACCCAGAAGTAGTATTTCTAATATTACTAGAGTCTCCTGTTTTTGTTAAGCAATTCAAGAAAGGAAAAGATATAAGCAATTTTCCCGGTTCTGGTGATTTCAATTTTTTTTTACTATCGCGACTGTTAAACTCTTACTTTTCATGGCATTTATGGCCCTTTGTATATAACAACGGACAGCCGGTGGTAACGTCCCCCTTTTGCTTACACGCGAGGAAATCGTAGAGCTAGGAGTAATTTGTGCCTTTCGTAGTACTGAATCGACTCCTGAGGCCCTTAGCCTTGACGCTTTACGCGGTTTAGTAAACAATCTTCAGGCACTCTTACCGGATAGTGCGCAAGTTTTACCGAGTGAAATTAATAATGACTCGCGAGAGGGATTACGAACTCTTTTAAAAGCACGTGAAGGATTAGACGCGTTAGTAAAAAGTTTGAGGGCTTTTGAGATTTGCAGAGCCCACGGTATGGCTAGACCCCTAGCCTCGTTCACTGACTGGAATGTTTTCCCCCAGTGCCCGCAAACATCACTACCTTTAAATCGTAAGCAGCTGATCAGAGAACTCTGTCAATCCGGCCTGGATCCACTGCGGCCATATTCACCCAACCAATGGCGTCAGCTATACGTGGAATTGCACGTTCTTCAGGTTTCAATACCACGAGCCCATACACTCTTGCCCTTAACTTTTATGGTCAGAAACTTTTATCAGTTCCTACGGACGTCATCAACAAGCAGTTTATGGAAAGTCTATTAAGTTCCTCATCGTTAAAAAATATTAGACTAGCTAGCGAGTTTATTCAGAACTGCCGCCATCACCAGTTCCTGCCTATACCATTAATTGATTTGCATGAAATATCGGGGGTGCTGCTGCTTTTTATCAGCTATGCTTAGCCTTTTAGTACTTTTAATTTTACGAGCAGGTCATACTAAAAGTGGCTATTGAGTATTATAACACTTGCAATTCCATGACCGACCCTTTACTTGAGGCGGCAACTGGTGAGCCCCTCTTTATCCCCCTAACGGCTCCATGTGTGATGCGCTGTGCTACTCCAATTATAGAATGTTTGAATCTTATACCTGAAGGCAGCTGCACTGCTCCTGTAATAAAAGAAAAAAAACTCATTTCCGCCGTAAAACTTATGCATGTTAGTTTCCGGCTGCCATGGACACCACTTCAAGGTTTGACCTTGAGGTGGCCCGCTTCCTACTTTCCTTTACTGGACAATTTTAGTGAGACTTGCGGCTGACTGTATGGAAAGTGTGCTGGATGCCTGTCTACTTGCGGAGGAGAACAACTACGCTCAGCTGGACGCCCTTTTAAAAGTAACTGAGTTATTGGAAGTTGCAGAGGACAAAGCAATAAGAGAAGTAGTTGCCTATGTGGCACTTAAAAAACCGCTCCTACTTTTACTCTTTTTACCTTGGAGGGCCTTGTATTGGCGAAAGTTGCCCGAAAAGCCATGAGGCATGCCGACTACCAGTTTGCGCTACAATGCTGTAAACGTATTATGCGACTTTCCGGGTATCTTTGGGAATTCTTGTGCTTGCATACAATGAATTTGTGCAGAGATTCTATATCCTTTTAAGGACTTTCAACTCCTGGGACCTTTTTTTGAGTCTGGCAAGTTGCGCTCAGCTTACCTTTCTAAGCGAAAGGTCTGGTGTCACACGTGCGTGCGACATGCTATCGGGCTTACTCTTTGAACTGAGGGCAGACTAGCGCTCTTGGCTCATGTACTGAAAACTTGCCCGCCTAACTACCTTATTATTGTCTTGGAGGTATCAGTTTCCCCCGCCACCAACATAGCGACGCTCTGGCTCATCTGTTTTACAATATTGATAGAAGTATAAAGAGCTGGAATTACTGCGATTGAGCCGAATTATGGGCGTTGCTGAGGATGGCAGTCCGACGCACCTTATGAAGATGCTTGCTAACCACGAAGAGTTGCCTTTTTCTATGAATTTAGAGGGGAACGCTCCTCTTAAGATGACGCTTCGAACCCCCGCGCAACGCTGTAAGCGACCAGAACGACCGTCTTACCCTCCAGATGTGACGGACACCGCTTTTCCTGAAAAACACTCCTCCTGTTCTCTAAGTCACGTGTTCCCTCCGAGTTCCTATCCGTTTTACATGCGGGAGTTGACTTGTGCGTGCGGCAGTAAAGGAAGGAGGAAGCGCTCTTATCCTTACGTGCTTGACTGCTATGCGCCCTTCACCAGCTGCCTAAGCAATCTCCATGCCCTCAAGTTACTATACTCGCTTTGCGAAAAACAGCTGCTGCACTTTTACGACTTTTCCAATTGGGACGAGTCGGTACTGGCAGCTATGCATCAGATCATGCGGTATGGGGTGCTTGTGTGCGGCTACGCCTCTTTATTTGGGCTAATGATCATGGCAAGGCGCCTGTTTTTAGAAAGCTGCAAGCTTATGGACTACTCCTTGACTTTTGCGCTACTTTTTAGCACGAATCTTGTAAGTTTGACACATAATCTTTTCTCCCATCTTATACTTCTGCACAGGAACACGCTGAAGAGCTACTTCGTATGAGGCCCAGCTGCACAGACACCCTCAAACTTGCCCTTTACTTTTACGGCCTTCTTATTTGCACGGGACAACATGAGAACTGGTCCACTCGTTCAACCGACCAGTTGGACGACAAATACTATTTTGCTTATTACGCATGCGAGTTGCCTCCGGCCATCGTCATTCTCTATGCAGTCCACCTCGTTGAAACCAGCGCGTGGCCAGCTTCTGTTTCTGAGGGCGGACCTAAAAATTTTCTTCTGAGTTTTTTTAAAGTCTTGCTTGGCTGTTTTTCTGTGTGTGGTAGTCTTATTCGCCCCCTTAAGGACTGGATTGCCGAATACTATAAGCATCTCATAACGGCAACTCTTCCTACGCAGAGCGGTACCACCCTCGGCGCCTCCTCTGAGCTAATAGCCTGTCAACTTTCTCTTAGAGCCTCTCGACTTTTCTAGGTTTTTGCAGGACCCCGCTTACCAAAGGGTTTATAGCCCGCCTGCTGTACCTTGTGCCCGGCCTCATTAATTAGTGTATAGGGCGTGTTCTTGCTGTGTCTTAATCGAGGGGGCGCCACCTCTCTTGAAAGATGCGTGATGGTTTGCGAGCGAAACGGCCTAAAAGCCGAAGATATTTATTTCTCACTTGCCTTCACACTTTTAAACGCGGCCACGCCAGCAAAGGAAGCCGTTGAGGGTCTTTACTGCAGCTTGTTAATTGACTTGACGGGCCCTTAGAGTTGCCATGAAGGTCTGCGAATTTTTCTCTCCCGCAAAAACATGTGGCTCGAAGTATCGCAAAAAATTTCCGCTACTATGTGGCCCGCGCTGAATGGCCAGGACTATACGCGTTTGTGGCTGTTCTTCAACTTTCTTAATCCCAGTAATTACGCTAAGTAGTACTGGTTCGTGTGGAGCTTATCTGTCATTGAACTCTGCAGATGTTGTACTTGACGGCATATCAGTCGAAAAACATCTGCACCTGCTAGGCCTTGTGAGCCACTTGGACACTTTTGCTATCAATAAACTAAACTATAAAAATTATTTGGCCCTCGATCGCCATAGGCTGGCTCAATTGGTCTATTTCCATGTGGTTTTTGTTAAATCTCTTCCGCTTTTTACTTGCGCACCTATTAACTAGGGAGAGCTTACCACTCTGACCGATCTGGGCTCTGTTACAGAGTTTATTCTCCTCCTTGGCTCTCCTCATGATGTCAATGAAGCAACGTCATCGTTATGTTTGGAAGTCTTGCAGAGAGCAGTGAAGGACTTTGTCCGCTTAAAAGGTTAGCCCCTCCTCTCATCCCCTGTCATCTCGCTATGGTTAGTAGCGTGTTAACCTTGTAGAGGGCGGCCTAGTGTCCTATCAGGACAAGGGGCACTCGTTAGTTAGTTATCTAGAAAAATTCGGCCACTCGTTGAGCCCATCTCACGCTAATCAGTTGTCCCTTGTTCTTTTGGACAGTGAATTCCTACGATATTTGGATCTTTCCACAAAATTGGCCATTTTAGAAAACTTTATTCCGTACGTTGAAGGTATAAAAAGGAGAGTCTTGAAAAGAATAATAACTTTATAAAAAGGCATTTCGTAGAAGAAGACCAGAAACTCGTTTTCCAGGAGAAACTCGCTAGGCTAACCTCTGTTAAAAAGTGTCTTGGTCTACTCACTGGAACCTCCGTGAATAACATCGATGCTGGTTTCATAGAAGTATCTCTAGAAACTCTCGAAGACGTTCGTGCATTCATTTTTTAATTCTTGCCTTGACAAACTCACGTTTTGGCAACAGGCGTATCTATTTCTGGAGGAGATAGTTAGTCTTTCACAAGTTCCTGATCTTAATAGTGTCCGAACAGTGTTTGAGGAAGTCCAAAAATGGCATAGAACTGCCATTAGTTATAATGAAATATTTTATAAAGTCTTGATGAACTGCTTGGCCCTGTAGAGCGACTTCTTTAATAACTAGCAAGGATTTTCTCATCACACATCATTGTGTAACGTAGGAAAAGCGTCCCTTTAGTTGACTTTAAGCGTCTCCTTACCACCGCCAAGCTACTATTAAAGTATTCTATAGCCTCTCATACGTGATAGACACTATTAACATAATTCACAGTACCTCAGAGTGCGATGCTCTAGCCGGCGACCTCATAAAGTTCTGCAGCGCGGCACAATGGGACGCGCCACAGAGATTTGAGGTGTTGACCCTGATAGAAGAGGTGGAGGTTTATAAGCAGGTAGTTGCATCTACACTGCACCCGTAAAACGGTTCGTTCGCAGGCAGTGCCCGGCCATTCCTCTCTTTCAGCCGCTGTCTTCTGCCAAATACAAACCATTCTGCAGCAGCACTGGCCTGGAGCCACTGTTCTTCCTCATTGTAGTTTCTGCTGCTCTTACTTTACTTTTCGTTGCAAGGTGGCGCTTGAGGAAATAAACAGCTCGAGCAAACAACAAGTCTTTGTGGAGAAGCTCTATGAAAGCATCCGTCAGGAGACTGAGGCTTCAGAAAAGGGCAGCTGGAGTGACGACGACTGGAATGTCTGTGCATGACTTTCGCTGCAAGTTTTTTATTCAAATGTTTTGCATATTATTTGCAGAACTATACGTGGAGCACCGTGGGCAACAGCTTTGCTATTGACCTCTCTTCTCGTGCCTTTGCGCTAGCAAAAGTAATATCCATACTTGAAAAGAGCCCCGACCCTGACAAACCTGGTCATAAACACGCTTTCCGAAATAGCTTGCTGTCTCTTGAAACCATACTTTCTCGCTTACCAGATTATTTAAAATATCACTTCGCTCTCTTGCTTAATATTGCCGAGTCGGAGTCTCTTATGCACAATTGCTGGCGAATACGACTGGAGTGGGAGCTCTCAGAGCTTGTTTCGTGCTTACGGCTTTCTTAAAGTGTTAGCAAGTAGTCTGATTATAATTTTTAGGAGGATACTAAAGTATTTCGGCGCTTACTGTCACATGCAACACCCTCGTGTAAATGCAGCTCCTTGAAGTACATCTTCGCAGCTCAGCGCCTCCAGCTGATAGATCAGGAAGCCCCTTTCATCTTCGAAGACGCGTTTTTGAGCGGTGGCAATACGCAGCTTGATAACGACCTTCTTCACTTTATTGTGAAAAATCCACAAGTCTTTGACCGCACTCGTTCCCCATCCATTTATGCTGAGGTGCTTTTTATCACGTCGCAAACACTTTAAGGGCCTCTTAAAGTATTTTACCGGCCATTCTTAGGTGAAAAATTATTTGCTTTACCGAAGCATCGAAGACATGCACGCTGTGTCACAAACGCAGGCGTTCTTCTCCTACATTGAAGCTCACATAATTAACTGCGCCACATTTTTAGCTGACCTCTGCCTCCTGGAGAGGATGGATTGCGCTTTTTCGTTTGTTTTAGAGTTCCACCGGTTATTACATTCTCTACCTCTTCTAGCCCCACGTGTTATTATCTTGTTCTCTGCAGCTTCCCGGTGCCTTTGCGTGATTGCCATATTCTGTTCCGCTTACTCGAAGATCTACTATCAGATTCTTTAAAACTTATAAAGAAAAGTGTACCCTCTTCATCTGTACAGTTTAATCTCTTATACACTTTGGAGCACAGCTTGAGCTCTTGCGAGAAAGCACTACTCTACTGCGCTTTACAATAATAAACTTTTCTAATATTACATATACAGTGCGTCACTTATTAATTTTACTACGGGTACTGCTTGATTGGAGATCTAATTACACTCTTTTATCAAGGTACTCAATTAGTTTTTGCTCTTTAAGTAGCCTTATTAAAAGAAGGGTTCGCTTAAAGTCTTCTTTGGAACCAGTAGTTCAGGTTTTTATAGTCAAAGTGATGTAGCACTTAAATGACGAGTGCTTCAAGATAATTCCATTATAAAAAAATTACGGATTTACCGCTCACTGTAAGTCTGTTTATATAATAAAGCTAGAATTTTGCTGAAATTTAAAAAAAAGTCGATTTTTATTAAAACAGCAATATTTTATATGTTAAGTAGCTGTCTTTATTATTTATTTAAGTCGGTAACCAAAAATTCTATAGCTTAACTAAAACCTCTGGAAATAAGTTAGTTTTGGATTATTTTGTCCTCTCTTAGCTAGTAGACTCTGAAAATTTGCTAATAATAGTAGCTAACTTAATATGACTTCGGTATGAAAATCATAAGTTAGCATTCGTATTTTTTAGAACCATTAACTTCCAGTATTAATTTCAAAATTTATTATCTTTAAACTCGGTGTATATATATATAGTTACACTTATTTTTAAAATCTTAAAAACTAATTAAATTTTGAGTTTAAAAGCATTTACAGTTATATTCACACCTAAAAAAAATTGCCTTTAACACAAATTTTGTTACACAAAAAATTTGTTCGAGTCAGTCAGAATGGTTTTAAACGCTTATAAAGAAGAGACTTCAGTGCATTTAGAACGACAAAAACAACTTGAAAAAAAGGTGAAAAAGAGTCTTTAATAATAGGAAACCCGACCAAAAAAAAGATTTATGATATAAAAATATTAAACGGCGTAACTGCCTTACTTTTCTTCAGAGGCTCATTACTATAAATTTTTTTTTGCTCCCGTAGTTGGCAATGTCCACGTGTTATCGAGTTTAATGAGGTTGGCCTTTTAGGGCTTTTATTGTTAAATAACTTCACCTATGTGTATTCGTGGTATAACATGACGATTTGTATTGCCGTGCCGAGTTATCAATGTTGCATTTTTGAATAATTATTGTTGTAATGTCGAATTATAGCTGTGATGTTTGTACAGCATTTACAGAAAAGTTTATTTCCTCCCAGAACGGGTAATATGAAAAAAGTTACTGCTCCCAGGCATAGTTTGGTGGAACTAGTTAAAGATGGCGATACCCGCACGCGTTCTTCTTTAACTCTTGATTCAAGTCTTAAGCATAAAATAATTGAAGATTTCAATTTATTACCTAGAAGAATTACTTTTGTCCCTCCCCGAAAAATATATTCTCCTGACGAATTATATAAAGAGCCTGAGACTTTAAATGCAATAGGAAGTCATAATGTATACGAGAGTGAGTTCATTACTTTCCAAAAAACAATTTTTTTTTACTCTTTTTTAAAAAAAAGCAAAAGGGTCTAAAGATAGTTACCATAAACCCGAAGATATACCTCGAAAATTCTATAATTTTAATGGTTTGGAACTATCAACCTACCAACTGTTTGCTAGTAAATTAATCGAAGACTTAATGAAATGGAAGAAAGTTAAACAGATCTTTTTGTTCATTCGCTTATTCCTGGTTGCCTTCTGATTTCTTACAGGTTTACTCTTTGAGTAAAGGTCTAGGAAACTACGGAAATACCTGTTATATCAATTCCGCGTTGCAGTGTCTGCTTCATACCCCACCGCTCGCTAACTTTTTGCTCGATAACGCCCATTCTCAATCTTGTAGAATTCCGGAAGATTGCTATTGTGCTTTTTGCGATTTGGAAAATCTGGCTCTTAAAGTACGTAATAACTTTATTATTTTAGCCGTTCAGTAATTTTTTGTTTGTTAAGTCATGAAGATACACACTCTAAAACTTTAATAATTTAATTTTTCAGCCTTTTTATTTAAAGAACACGTTCTGCCTCAAATCTTTAATAATTTTTTTATTGTAAATTTCTGTTTCAGGCTTTGCTTTTTTTTTTTCAAAAAATCAGGTGTATTCAGATGCGTCAAACACCCTTAAAAAATTTTCTATTTAATAATTAAACTAAACTTGAGTATCAATTAGATCTTCAAGTCTTCCAAATCTTCTGCTATCATATATCCGAAAATGTTTTTTTCTCGTCTGAAACAAGTAGCCAAACATTTTTGCCGAACTCAGCAAGAGGATACTCACGAATATTTACGCCTTTTGATAGATTCCTTGCAAGAAAGTTGTTTACATGGTTATGAAAAGTACTTTTATATATTTTAGTTTAAAATCATTTTTTTAATTTTTTTGTTAGAAATTTAGAAGATAAAATTAAAGAAACTTCATTTATTCATCAAGTATTTGGGGGTTATTTGCGGAGTCAGATCAAGTGTCTCTGCTGCGGTCACGATTCCAACTCGTTTGAAACAATCTTGGATCTTAGCCTCAACGTTCAAAGTTCAGTCGAGAAAAGTCTGAGGCTTCTTGTAGAGCCGGAGATTTTGGATAAAGACAACCTATACTACTGTGAGAAGTGCGCTAGAAAAGTCCCGGCTAGTAAGTCCTTTTCCATCCACGTGCCCCCACGTGTGCTCTGCTTGCATCTAAAACGTTTCGATTTCCGTAGTGAAGGTTTTTCATTTCATTCCTGAGCTTGTAACGTATTACGTTAAAAAAGAAAATTCTTAGGGAAAAAGATTAAGTCTAAAGTTATTTACGGCGAACATTTAGATTTGAGTCCGTTTTTAAGCAGTAACACCTCTAAAGAGCCGGTGCTATATCAGTTGTACGGTGTTCTTGTTCATGACGGTAACTATAAGGCACCTATAGTTTTTGCCTCATACCCAATCTCTACCCTTTTTGAGGGCTTACGCTCCACTCTGGCCACTATCACTGCTACGTTCGCGGTTCCAACCAGCTGTGGCAGTGCATAGACGACGAACTTGTTAAGTTATTACGAGTTTACCTGTTTAAAAGTTGCTCTCACTTAAGCTCAAAATAGGTTTCCAGTGCAAGCATAAAAACTGTGTTGCACCAGCAGGCATATTTACTCTTCTACATCAGAATCAGAGATGTAAAATTTATTTGTTTTTGCTTTATACTCCGTAAATCTCGCACGTTGTTAGACTAAAGGGTGCTCTTTTGAAAAAAGTTCCAGCTTAGCTTCCTTAAAAGCAGCCTGCTCTCCGTCTAAAGTTGTTTCTTTTCGTAAAAGTCGGCCAGAAACGCACACTAAAGCATCTCCTAACGCGACTGACTCCGCTTGGGTTGTGGAGAAGATTTCACCGGGAAGCCCCAGCTGCACTCAAAAGAATTACGACAACACCGTCGTCCACTGGGACGAATATATTAAAGATGTTGGAACTCGTACTCAATCAAAAAAAACAGCTTCTTCGAGGCTTATAAGGTCGTGGGACGGCAGTTTTAAGCAAAATATATTCAATCCGGGTGAGCAGAAATATAAATTTCAAGAGATAGGGCCAGCAGGTAGACTTTTTATAATTTCTCTTTGCTTTTCTTGTTGGTTATATTTGGATTATTAGTAACTTCATGGGAAGGAGGGCCCAACTCGATAGACACCGTTGTCGATCTCTGCAAATTCGAGAGAGATGAAGAAGATGAGTTATTGGATAAGGGCAAGCTAAAGAAAGCCAGGACGAAGAGATTTGAAAGCCTTTCGGCCCATTTTAGTCAGAGCAACCCTTTTCAACTATTTTTTTCTAATAAGAAGTCTAAAAGCTCTTGAGACTATAAATTTACTGCAAACCGCTACTCTGACATATTTTTATTATTATATTTAGTTATTAACAATAAATTTTATTAAAGTTTTTTTAATCTTCATCTTCGCTTGATTCTTGAACCTTATACTTCTTAGCTTGTTGGTTAGCCCTAATAATAGGGGAGAGGGCGAAAAGAGATTTAATTTTTAACTGAAGATACCTTCTAGACTGTCTTGTGGTCCTCCCTTTTCCCATGCATCCCTCCAAGTGCGGAGCAAAACGAGAAGCCACGACTACTCTCTGGCAGTTGTTGCATTTAAATGATTCAGTTTTGTATTTATCGGGGTTTTGACCATAAATATCGAAACCGACTTCGCAAGTTTTTTTACTAAGAAAGTAAAGTGGACTCTTTAAAAAGAGTGCTAGCTTTTAAGAAATGTGTGTTTTTTTGTTAAAAAGGTTTTACAGAGAGCAGAATAGAAAGTTGCGAGGTTGCATTAGAAAAAGGGTCGTAAAAAATTTGAAAAGAAAGTACATATGTATTGTCAGATATATAATATACTTACGTATTTACTTGTTTAGAAATTCTCGCCAGTTTAAAGGCTTTGTGTATAATAAATATTACTTCTAAAGTAAGATCATCTATTATTTCTCCAAACACCTCTGAAGTCTTTTTGAAATTAGTTTGTGCTAAAATGTGTGGTGTAACAGTTTACCCAAAAGTTTAAAGAAGAGCGGGTTGATAGATTTGTTATCAAACGATCTAAATATTTCTTTTTATTTTCCAGTCTTTTTAGTTCCTCCACAAAAAAATTTAGGTCACCCCTAAAAATTTAATAAACTCCGTATAAAACTTTAAAGGTCTACAGTTATGATGACCTCCCAGCATCACAAGCACCCTGGGAACTTTTGCTCATCACAGTTGAGTAGAACCAACCCAACCCGTATCACTTATTTAAAAAATTTAGAAGCTACTCGGCAGTAATGCCCGAATCTGTCTGCACCATTACCGTTTTATGATTTAGCAGATAAAAACACTTTTTGGCCCTAACAAGGAGTCAAAAATAGAAATACTTAACGCTTACCTTATTCGACTTTTTGGACTGTGTTAACTGATAACAGAAGATTTATACGTCATTCACCAGCTCACACTTTCTAATATGAAATTAATTGTACGTTCTTACAAAACAGTATCTGGCTAGCGCTCTACAACAAAAGGCAAAAATATAATCGACACAAAACACATTGAAGAACCTGCTAAATTTAGAAACCGAACGGCAAGCGAAATTATTGGTCAAGAAAATGATTTTTAACCCAAAATTTTCGGGTCAGAAATTAGAGACAAAAAAAAAGAAACTAAATATTTGAGGTTTTTCATTGGTTAGCAAAATTCTTAAGGTGAATAAAAAAAAAATTGCCTTTCTGGCTAACCTTTAAAATTTACCTTATAAACGAGAATAACTGCTTTTTGGCTTTATTGTTTATAAATTAAGTCAACTTTATGTACTAGCTGCTTCAACAAACTGTATAAAGAAAAATATTAAGATCTTAGAATTTGGCTCCTGGACTTTTATTATTAAGGAAAAACTAGTAAATTTACTTGAGACACCTCTATCATTGTTATTTTCCTAACAGTATAACTATTTATTGTTTACTTATTGCCTGATTATATATCTTTAAACAGTTAAACTCATTTAAACGATTTCAAAGATAAACTCAAAGTTAAGATGTCAGCGGTTATACTTAACACAGTACAAAAACGCAATGTAAAACACAATGACTACAATAAAATACCTTCAATATTTTAAAACAAAAATATTATTAAAAGCCTAAATGTCCATAAAATTTTTACCATGTTATATAAAAAAGTACGCTCGCTTGATCAAAAGCATTGTTGACGAATTTCATTTAAAAAAATTATAAGTAGAAACAAATTTCAAACTACAAAGTACCTTTTTAGCTACTTCTCCCTCTTATATCATAAATTTGGATGTTGTTGTTAAAAGCAGTGGTAAACATTTACCTTACTCTCTTTTTTAATAACCTTAAAAGAGATAAGTGCACTATTACACAGGTTTTTTGAAATCTCTTTATCAATAGATCTCAGCTTATATAGACTGAGCTACCCTGTTTACTTGAACCAAGTGCAGACAGAAATTACATAAAGACATAGCTCAAAGTAAAGATTATTTTTCGGTAGTTATTGAGAACGTATCAGTTCTTCAAACTAAAAAAAGGAAGGAAGCGAGTTAAGTGTTTCTAGTAAGCATTAAAGATAATTTTAAGTAATAGTTGAAAGCTAATATAATGAAAAAAATTAATTTAAATTTTTGGGTAAATACTTTTAATTAGTTAGCACGCTAAGACATTTGGTTGCGCCTTATTGGAAAAGAAAAGGAGTCACTTCGAAATACATAAGTATTCACCTCCTCAGTGAACTGAAGAGTTCTCGTGCAACTGGAAGTTAAGTAATTATATAACATCAAGGCATCATCGTTTTAGAAACTAACTATATGTCACTAAGTTATCTATGTCTACATGGCCTTAGGACTTTAAAGCAAGGATCATTAACCAAAAAAATTGTTTGCCATCTTCACCCTGCTTTTGATTTTAACCAAATTTTCAAATTTTAGTTAATTATACAAATTAAAATGTTCGTTAGTGTTTTTCTCTGTTTAAAGGTTTACTTTCCATAAACGGGTATTTTTATCAATTAATATATTGTAAGGTGTTTTGCTTGAGACCCTGAAGCACAATTTTTTTTCTTTTAAAAGCGCTCCGTATGTGTAAGTTTGGTATTTCTCTTTTTTAATTTCTTTAATACTTTTCACATCTACTTTTTTGTCACTATTGTTGCGTCGATCCATGACTTATGCAAAGCACTTGCAAGTAAAACAATTTATTCATTGCGGTTGTTGTTCGTACTTTGCAATTCATGTTAAAATTGATGTTTGAGTTACACCTCTGTGGGTTGTTTTCTTGTAAAAATATAAAATAAAAGGCCAAGAGCAGCTATCTAAAAAGACGACCTAAGCTTGAAGGTATTGGCCTTTATGAGTGAATTGGTTTAGCTAAAACTGTGAAGACTCAATTTGACTGTCGAGAATTGATTATTAGCTGTTTATCAGCAAACTAAAAAATGACACCTTTAAATACTATTTTAAACTATAATTTGCTCACATGTTATAAAATTTTATGTATTTTTACTAGAATCTTAGTTAACGACCTCGTTACCATCTCCGTCTAACAGTTTTTTTGTTCCGTCTTTTTCTAAGAAGACCTTGTCATTAACTACTGTTTATCTTGAGAGTAGATCCACTTTTATATATAGAATGTCAGATACCAGTCAAAATTATTTGTTATTAGTTGCATCTTTGTAATTTGCTCTTCCTTCTACTGACTTCAACCTACGTTTGTTTTTAAAATTTGCTATTTATTTTGGGGCTCATTTATCTCATATAATTCTTTCAAGTAACTTGATCGTATCCTTTAATATATTATTATATACATTTGACTTAAATAAAGCTTTACAACGACCCTCTCGTGCATCCAAAGGGCAAGCCGCGTATGCATATGACAAGGGCATCCGTTGTAAGATAGACAAGCTCACATAGATCTTTACTTAAATAATCGCATTAAAAACATTCCATGCCTTTTCTTGACTTCTTTGGACTCAGCGTTAGTATTTGTTTTAAGCAATCGACCGAAGGTTCAAAGATAGAACAGTATTAGATGTACGTTACTATTTAGTTTCACCTGTTTTTTTATTATGGTGGAAAAAGAAGGGCAAAAGTATAAACCTTTTGTGCTTTCGGGCTGTTCCTTTTTATCTAACTTACTAGAAGTAACAAATAGCTTAGGATATACTTATTAATTAATATATTTTAAACCCACTGAACTATATATATTATACTATAAGGTTACTCTAGTAGTTAGCCAAATTATACAACAATAAATGAGCTCTGTTTACAACTCCTAAATCTTGTAACAGAGGAGCACTTAAGTTTGACCACTTTCCGTTTTTCTTTCACCCGATATAGTAGCTGTATACACGAGTTAAATAATTAGCACCAAGGGAAACTAAACTCTTGTTAGTATATATAATCAGATAGTCGAGTGACTTCAGAAAACACCACTTTTTCCTTACCCATAGCCTCTTCATATTAAAAAGCTGCTTTATTTTTGTTCAGCTTAACCATTGAGTGTTCATAAAGAAGTTAAGTATATACGTTTTCGCATATAGCCCTTTTTTAATTTTTATAGAAGAGATTTATCTATTACAAACTTTGCAAAGCTTTCTTTAGATGCTTAGGTCATCGCGCATTCAACCCTCGATATGCTCCACACAAAACTTTCTGGTCGACTATCTCAACACTCCCTTGGTAGCAACCACTAGCTTTCTCTATTAAAGATTACTCCCAGCATAACTTTTTTTTTATGCTTATTTTTTAAGAATTTCAGTTTACTCCTTTAGGTTAATAATTTCGACTTCTATCATCTGCACCTAACACTATAGTTTGTATAAAATACCTTTAAATTCCGTACTAAGGCCATTCCCTTTTACTCCCTTTGGGGAGAAGGGGGTTTGAAAAAGTAAACTTCAAACCGAAGCTACCTTAATTACCTACTACTCCAAATTTATTGCCTTTTAGATAGTATATTAACTTTATATTTTGAGAAGTCTCGTCTATATGTCCTGTGCTCTCTTTATAAATTTCCTCTGGCAGTTTCCTTATTCACTAAATTACAGCGCCTGTTTTCCAGTATGCCATAAGTAATACGTAATAAACCTGCTCAATTTTATTGAAATTAAACATTAGTAAAATATAGTCTTATATTATTTTGCAATAAAGATTGTAACTTCAATTATCCTTGCTCAGTCTCTATTTCATATAAGCTCGCGCACTTGTTTTTGGCTTTGTTATTACAATATAAAATTCTAATGGCTTTATTACACCAAACAGGTAAGCATCTTTTTCAACAGTTATTTATATCGTTCTAAACAATTCTTACAAAAATAGTATTTATTACACTTTTTAAACGTGCAATCATGTCATTATTCGCACTTCATCACGTATATGCAAATTACTCTGTAATATAATTTTTCAAACATGATTGTAAACAAAGCTTCGCTGAAGTTAACCTAAAAAAAACAGCGGAGTGGGCTTATAATTAAGTGGTTTAACCTCATTCAAAAAACTTGACACTTTGTTTTCGGTTGACATGTGCTAGAGGTTGGGCTACTACTAAGTTAGTAAAAAATATTAGTCAAGTTTATTTGGGGAGTCTAAATGAAGTCAACCTCTTTTTGAGCGCTAAAGAATTTTAATATCACTTACATAACATTTGTTTACCCGTTTATATTTTTAACTTAATGTCAGAGCGCTATAATTTTTCTTTAACAACCTTTTCTCCCTCTGGAAAGCTGGTACAAATTGAGTACGCTCTGAACGCTGTTCAATCAGGGGCCACATCTATTGGAATAAAAGGCATTCTTCTCTGCCTGCTAAAATGTTTATTACTTTTGGAAAAAAAATTTTTTTAATTCAAAAAGCCACGAACGGTATTGTTATTGCTACTGAAAAAAAGCTCTCTTCAGTGTTGGTGGATGAGACCAGTGTTGATAAAATTTCCCAGGTTAATGAACATATTGGAGTGGTCTACAGGTCCAGTGTAAATTATTTATGCTTTATTTAAAGTAATCTATACTTCAAAAAAGTGGTTTAGGAGCAGATTCGCGAATTTTAGTTAAAAAGGCCCAAAAAATTGCACAGGTTTTATGTTTTTTAAAGAAGCGTTTATTTTTCTTCTTTCCTTTAATTTAATACTATTGTTTTTAGGTTTACTACAATATATATAAAGAACAAATGCCAACTTTACAAAATGTGCTGGAAGTTGCTTCTGTTATGCAGGAATTTACACAATCCGGGTAGCACCTTTTACAGTTATTGTGTTATATATTAAAGCTTGTTTTTTTTTTGGTGGTTTTCTTGTAGTAGTTTAAGTTTGTAATGTTGACTTATCATTTTACTTTCTTTTCTTTATACCAAATATAATTTAAAAGTATTGTTTACTTTATTAGAGGTGTTCGTCCTTACGGTGTTTCGTTGCTAATGGCTGGCTACGACCATCAAGGCCCGAAGCTCTACCAGATCGACCCTTCAGGTGGACCCCCTCCTTCTCTTCGAATTTAGAAAGCCACTGAACTTTTTTGAGCACAACAGGCTCTTATTTTGCTTGGAAAGCTTCTGCTATCGGACGAAATTCCACTAATGCTAAAAATTTTTTAGAAAAAAGGTTTTTGGCCTTTATTAATTTTATAATATATAATAATTTTTTTTAGATATAATAAGGATATGGAACTGGAAGATGCCGTCCACACTGCCATTCTTGCTTTAAAAGAAGGTCTTTGTCCCTCTTCTTTTGTGTCTGAGATTTGTAGGTGTAGCGTATGTTACAGGTTTTGAGGGGGAAATGACGGAAAATAATATTGAAGTTGGGATAGCCGTGTATTTTTTTAAGATCTTATTATAAGTTTTTAGATTCTATTTATTGTTTTTTATACCAGAAAAGATTCCTTTAAACGGTTGTTGCCGCAGGAAATCAGGCTTTACCTGTCGATTATATAATAAATATTTAAAAACGTTTATCACTTTATATTTAGTTGAACTTGCCGTTTTCTCTTTGATAAAATTACTTTATCTTTTTTATATAATTTCTTTGCTTTACCCTTTTTCTTAAAAACCCGAACGGTTCCTACTTTTTTATTGTTTAAGATGCTGTTACGCACTAATAGCTTAAAGATGTGTTTGTGGTGGCCAAATTGTTATCGAGGTCGATAAATATATTTTGAGTGTACTACTTTTATAATTTTTTTATACAAACTGTAACCATGCAAACAAGTTTTACTACCGGTATTTTCTTTTATTACTTAAGTCATTTTCCTTTAAAAATCTTACCACTCTATTTAGGTATGAGATATGGCCTGATATTTATAAAATTATAATTATGTTTAGCGGAACTACATGAAGGATAAGACAAAAAATTATCAACGGTATATATTCGATATATAAAGTAAAATTAAGAAAACGATTTCTGCTCGATAGAGACTACTAACTCTAATATTAATGCTTGTTAAGACTACATAACTCACTGATGTAAGTTTTCACCCTTTGGCGTTGCGGGAGGTCTAGAGTACCGAAAACATAATAAAAAGATTGAAATTATTAAGAAAAACTTGGTTGATAAGGCTCGTTCTCAAAAAAAATAACCCAAAGGATTAGTAATATTTTCTGTAAAAAAACGAATTTCATAGCTAGGGATGTGCTAGTATATTACCGGTACTATCTAATTAATAGGTCTAATTCTCGACTTAATTTGAAATAATTTAGTACAAACTCTTAAGTTTTAAAACTAAAAAAAAGTCGAACTGTTTATAAATTTCAATAAAGAGGCGCCTCCGAGTGATATAAAATTGTTTAAACCTCTACCTCTACAAAGCTCCATTATTAATGTTAAACTTTTTAACTTTATGTTTTTCTATAAAATATAAAGTAGTTCGCAAAGAGGGCCTCGGAGAGGGAGAGTATTTGCTCTTGCAGAATGTGCAACAGCCCTCAACCATAAATAGAAGGGAACTCTTAGAACTCAACTGCGAGTTTGGTTTAGTTTCATTCTTACACTTCTTTTAATTATATACGTGTTAAGAGTTAATATAAACCATATTATCAAAGAAGACAAGCATATTAACCATAAATAGTTTATAAGTTATATAGGGTTTACAATCTTAAGATACCTTTTACGTTTAGGGCAAACCAAACAAGATGTATGCAGAAAATCTGGCAAAATAATTATCCCTTCGATTCTATATAGGCTATAAGTAAAACGCCGGTACTTATTTTCAAAATGTAATTAATTTTTTTTGAGTTTTATTAAAAAGTTTCTGTCTATATTAATTTATATGAATATTTGTAATTATGTTATAAAAGCGAAGAATTGTAATCATTTCTTGTAGGAGCAATCGTGTTCACTTACGAGAAATCGTTGTAACCAATAAAACATCTGGTTAAAATTAACCTTACTCCACCTTTAACCTATCCTTTCCGTTTAGTCTTTTTGACAATTTAATTTGCTTAGAGGTATGCACCAGTTTAAGAGTTCCAAAAAAGCAAAAGAGCTACACAAAGGAAGCGTTTATGAAAAGTTGTCGTAGTGTCTTAAGTTTCACTGTAAATTTAAATAAAATAACGAGTGTGGCACTTGCAAATATACCCAGCTATATTTTGGTGGTCTGGTAATGTTGCAATGACTAGCTAAACCCTAGTACTGGTACAAAGCTTGATAATCAAAAAAATGTAAATTTTCATTATCTTATCCTTACTGGCTACAACTAAACCGCAATAATACGCAGGTAGATCATAATTAACGTGTGTTCTAAAATTCATTAATTTTTTAAGGTCGATTCATACACAGATTCATACACACTATGACTAACCCCACGGTAAATACAGCTTGTATCTACTACAGTTTAGCCTGCTTTCTCTAGCTTCCATTTCTTTGAATTAATTAATTATTTTTATTAGTTTGGTAATGAATTCCCTAAAGGTTTATAATTGTATTCGCTCTTCTAGCACTTATTAGATAATTAACTTGTTACCTATAAATAGGTATCAATTCTGTTACTATGGAGATAACAACCAATTCATAACCAGCTCGCCATGACACTAAAAAACATCTTACATTTATGAAACAGGAATGCAAAATTGCAAGTTTAAATTCGAATGGAGTGAATATAATTATGTTCTGGAACATAATATCGCTTTTCCAGGAAAAAAAAAAACCTTACAATGTACTATACATTCTAAACAATAAGTAAAAGGTCTTATGTGCAACTGCACCTACTCTTTTCTCTTAATGCATGGTTTGTTTATAATATTAAACCTCTTAAATAGAGATTGCAAACAGGATCCACTCTCTTTGGATTGAAAAATAAAAGTTGTAATCTTTTATTATTTAATTAATTTTTTTTTGTAGAAATCCTTCACAAACAATTTAAGATCCTTTCATTCGTGATTTTAAAAGTCTTTTTTCCTTATGACGTGGTTATAACTCATAACACCAACATGTTCGTTACGTCTGTCACTTGTTATTAATATTAGCCTATTATGAGAAATAAACTCTCAATTTTGTTAATCTTCAACTTAAAATTAAACTTGTAACCCATATTCGGTTTCACCCCTCTGGGTTGCATTCCCTAATATTGATCGATAACATGATAGTAGGAGAACTTACAACTTTTACCTTAAATGAACTGGTGCAAAGGAGAAACACAGTAAGTAAAAAAACTAAGGAGAGGGAAGTTAAACATTTTATTATATAAAACTCCTCTTACTAAGTTTGTTCGATTTCTCTTATACAATTTTGGCTTAAGATTAAATAAATTGTAAATTTTGTATATAAAAAATCTTTTCTGTTGTAAACAATAAAATATAACAAACTAAGTTATTCGACCTATTATTATCCTGCTTTATACTATGTAGAATAATTTTTGCGCAGCTTAATATACTTTAATTCATATAAAACTGTCCTTACCTACATTTTTGCCCTAAGATCTTAGTCATGTCTGTTTAAAACGTTCTTATTCTTAGTTTAAGAAAGTCAAGTCTAGTAGTTAGAGAATAAGCAGCCCTCTAAGCAAGCTAAGCAGGCGGGCATTAGGAGTTGAGAAGTTAAAAGAGTTTTTTTTTTTTAGCAATGGCATACTACGGCCGGTCTTCTTCAGAACCTAAGCGGCTTAATCTGAAATTCCCCTCCTCTGCAGGGGTTGAGGCAAAAGTGTCCGCCAGTGTACGCTCTTTAGAGAGCTATAATGACTGTCCCGAAGGACTGAAAAAGCAGAAATATCGAGTCCGGGCTCCCACCGTTCCGCTTAGTCTAGTGACCACCTAGGGACACTAGTCAGCACCGCTGCCAGTCAGGCCTCCGCAATTATGAGCCCCTCACCCTGAAGGGAGAATGCCCCCCAACCCTTCCACCACCCATAAACCTTCGTTGTTTACTGAAGTTAATAAGCTTTATATACGCACAAATGTAAACGATATTAAACCAATAGTAGCTAAGAGCGAGAAGCGTCAGGGGGTCTCTTAACAGCTTATTGGTCTTGACTTAATTAATATCATCCACGCTGAGGCTATCTTTTTCTATCAAGGTCTTTTCTCGTACTTGCCCTAAGCACTTAATAGTTTTATCATTTTGTTTTTTTTTAATTTTTTATCCTTAGCTCTTAAAAAGAGTTAATTTAAACGCTTGCCTTCTTTATAAACCTTAACCAATAGGTTTAAGATTTAGGTTTAAGGGTAAAGCTCGGCAGCTTAGAGCCTTGGAAAAATTTCTTTAACCCTGATGATAAAAGAACTACAACAAATTAATTAGAAATTGCCCATTTGTAGTTTAGTCATGGAAGATTGACGATTTTTTAACATGTGTAGTTTCATCAGCCTCTAAAATCCCTAATTAATAGGAAAAAAGCTTTAAGAGGCTATAGTTTGCTTAATAAATTTAAATGACGATCTGTACTCTAAGCTTTGAAAGACTCTTGTTTGCTTAACGGATTTAATTAACAGCCTATAGTCTATAATTATTAAGTCTTAAAAGAATATCTTTAACACCCAAAACTACGATTAAGTATTACACTCTAACAAGGTAAAATATAGAATTTACAATTTGTTATTTTGTAGACAGTAAAAAACAGATAAGTTTAATTTTGCCAGCTTATAATATATATATTTAATATTCTGTATTAATTAGAATAAGTCGTTAACTTAGCAAATGACGAATTTGAAAAGAGTTTAACAGCCAATATGGTAAATTTTTATTTAATGTTAAAATTTCTATTTAGATGATCAAATTCATACGGTAAAAAGAGTTTAAAAACATTGGATCTCTTATTCCCCAAGTGGACAAGCATAAATGGTTTACTTTTTTATTTGTCGAAACATTTGTAGATAGCCTATAAACGCGTCATTCAAAAAAAATTTTATCATAAACAATGCTTTCTTATTTAGGTTGCTTTTCACGTGAGAAAATTGTGGCAATAGACCTTGGCCTTGCTTTATTACCAATAATTTGCACTGTCAACTCTTTAATAAAATTTTATGAACTTTAAAAATAGTTTATATGTGTTCTTATTCCTAATAATACCTAGCTTATCAAGAAAACCTAATTCCAGCACAGAACGAATACTATTAGAAGATATAAATATACTTACTTTTTACAAGGGAGAGTTCACCACAGGTAGGCGTCTCAGACCCATTCCTCAGCTAAACTGTGTAGGAGGTGAGGGCTGCAAATTGTTTGAGCCGGAATTTGTTTATTGTGAAAATGCTGGTTTCGATGGAAGTGGTACGTTATTGACACGTTATTGACATATTTTATATTATAAATAAAAAAACGGGGAAATTCTAACTTTTTTTGATATAATTTAGATGTACACTGGCGCTGTACTGCTCAGCTTCCCTTTCATCTAGAGCTTGGTAAAACTGTGGTGAGTTGTGAAGGCTACTCTCAACCTAATGACGTGTAATTTTATAGATTAAAAAAGTTATTTTGTTTGGCGTATGCGTTTTTTTAGGTACATATTAAAGGGCTCCTGTGGTTTAAAGTACGACTTACACATAAAACAAAACTTTCAACACCCTACGAGTCGAAAGGGCTTTACTAATAATAATTATCTTACAGTTTTCAACTTGGTTTGGTTTGCCGCTGCTGCTTTCATCATATATGCGGTCCTTAGCGGATTTTTAAGAACAGGAGGGCGTCCACTTTCAAACGGGAGGAATTTTAACTCTTTTTCCCCACCAGATTCACCTCCTCCTACTTACGATTCGCAAAACAATAATTTTTCTCGTTGCGATTCGTCTTTCTTTTCGTCCTCCTCTCCTTTTCGACGATTTTCCCGGCTAGGACTTGGTCACAATTTTTGGACAGGCTTGGGATTAGGGGCTTTATCCGGGTACTTCCTCGGCGGGGCCCAAAGGAACAGTTTTAGAAGTTATAGAAGTCGAGATTTTGGCTCCACGACGTTCAATTCACTTTCTGGTTCCTTTTTTGTTTAGATAAGGACTTTGGCTGTCAATGTTTTACTTTTTGGAACTTTAGATCCTTTAGAAACTATTCACGGCTCGTTTCCTACAAGAAGCTCTTCCACATATAGCTCAACGGGTTCTGGGACAACAGAAAGAAGATAATTACTTGCGAAATTTTAAATTGTATTAAAATTGAACTTAATTATTCTGGGTTGATCTTTTTAATATAAATTTATATCAATGAAATTTTCAAAAATTTGATAGTGAGAGAAAAGAAAGAGAATAATATAATTGACTTTGCTTTTATACACACTGGTTAATACTGATATGCTTGGTAGTATACTTCAGGAAGTTTTCTAACGGTGCTTGCTCTGAGCGTCTTAAATTCATAATTCAATTTAAAGTTGAGTTGAGCAGCGTTATTGTAAATCTTAGCTGCTCCTAACAGTCTTAAGGGAGAGTTATCACCAATTTAAGTAAATTTAAATTGGCAATTTAAGTTGTTGTTTCTGCTGACTAAACAGCTTTACTTTGTTTTAAATTTTAATTTGATATATAACTTCAAAAAAGTAAAGCGTTGGCTAAATACTGGAGTTGCGCCGTTAATAGTTGTATTTTTATTGAGTAACGACTTTTGCTTAAACTTATTTAAGTTTTTAAACATAATATGTTTTAGTAACTGTTTTTTCTATTTTGGCGGCTGTGCGAAGCGAGTCGCGCGTGTTCTCCACTTTATCACTATATCATTTACTTAATTTACTCAACGCAAGAACAAATTATTGTTTTCAAAAAATTTTAAGCACCTCTTTAGTAAACACATAATACCTTATAAAATTTCCCCTTTTCAGGGTTCTTATTAAAGGCGGACCCACTTTTAGTAGTAAAAGAGAAAACGTTGTGCTAAGTTTACTGTAGTAGGCCGCTTTTCCAACGCCTGGTGCAATAAGCATGTGTCAGTTTTGGAGTTACCAGACAAAAAATACAACGCCAACATACTTTAGGTGAAGGACTTCAAACTATAGAGGAAGAATTTCAAAAGAGTTAACGTCTATATTTTTTTACAAAAGAATTTCAAAAACCATTATTCTTCAGAAAAGCAACCAAAAGACGAAAGACACAGTCATAAAAGTTACTCTACTTTCCACCAATTAAAAAAAAAGAAAGTAGTCAGAGAGAATAACACAGGTTCCGTCTAATATGCCGATAGAGCCCTTAACTGTTTCAGTAATAATAGTGATAATAAATTAAATATAAGGATCTTTTCACCAGGCTTAAAAAAAGTATTAGCAACTAAAAGTTATCAGAGACCATGAAACAGCCGAAGAATTTAAGGCAAGTAGCCTATCCGTTGCGGTCTTTAACGTTAAACATTATTGAAGAACAACCACAGCTCATAAGACTAACTTTACTCCACGGTCTGACAAGTGCGAGGAAATATTTAACAAAAACAGAAGATAAAAGTGCCAAAAAAATAGATTAAAAGGAAGGCGCGAAAGCCTCAATATTATCACTATTATATTTTATTTATGAGTTGTGCAGATGCTCAGTTAAATGGAGCGCAGACTGCTTAGTTTTGCCGCTAACTCAGGTTATTTTGCGTTCTTCGTATCAAGTTTCCGGAACCATGAACTTATGTGCGCATATACATATGTGCGTGTACCAGGTTTACATGCAACAGATGTGTGCTTAAAGCGCAGTGCGGAGCCCTCGGAAGCGTGCGTCTATCAAGGATATATTTGTAAGTTCTTGAGCCCACTGGTAAATTATCATGCCTACTAATTTGTTCAAAAGAAATAGTCAGTTGCATTTCAGAAAAAGCTTTCAAGTTCTAGACTATCGTGCAACGTGTCATTACTCACGAAATAAGGTGCGCCGGCGGTTAGTCACAGGGGCTTGCTTTGTTGCGAATCCCCTGGTTGCCCTGGTCGACGGTTTTTCGTACGTTTAACTCTTTTAACGGTCAAAACTATGGGGCTTAAAATAGATTTGTTTTACGTTCACTGGTAACTGAATTTAACACTTTTTATGTTTTGTTGGTTGCTGCCTACTCCTTTAAAACATGGTACTTAAACTTAACCAAATTTGTTTGTCAGAGATCGAGTCTGTCGTTTAGAGTCAATTTCCATAGACCTACTCTTGCAAACTGAACCTAGGCAACAAGTGGTAAAAACAGTAACCAGTAACCTTTAAGGGGTTAAATAACAGAGACATAGGCATGATAGAGAGCACACACACTCTATAGAGGCGCAGTTAATTGCACAGGGCCCTCATGCTTGAAAAAGAACTAATAGTTCTTCACAATAATCTTTGGAAGGCGAAATTGTACAATGTGTTTAACGCTTACTCTATATAATTCCTTGTTCTACCTGAAACATATACCACGGGTTTCTACGCTGAAAAGTGACAGCTCTCAATTGAGTGTGCAGGTGTGCCTCCGAATTTGTCTCCTGTTGGAGGCGGGGCAAGATATCACACAGATCTTTTACTGACGCTGGCGGGCTTATTAAGCCAAGCACAGTCGGGTGAGCACGGCATATTTGCTATAGCCGAGGCCAAGGAAGTAGCTCAAGCACATGCCCCGCTAATAAGCAAAAGAGGTATACTGTGACTATGTGCAACAAGCTGGCATACGTTTCACTCGCATGGGCTTTCTATGCACCGTTAACTGTAGCAGCACTCTAGTACAGCAGAATGAACTGTTGAGGCTGCTAACTTGTGCGCCGTACTTCGTTGGCAACCATACTCTGCATAGTAATCTTGTAACTTTAAATAAACTAATTCAGCTCATAATAATAACAATATCACAACCAAAAATATGTTAGAAACTAAAGGAGAATTGATTTTAAGCGTATGCTCGAATGATCTTCATTAGTTATAGGTTTCGCTTTTATCGAAGCGTCAGTTGGATATAACTATTGTTAATTTAAGCATCTTAAAGATCCATTAAGGAAGCAATAAATATGTAAACTTTCGGCTAATCAAATAATCCATTTTTGCAGCAATAATTTTAAATCATTTTATTATTTTGTATTCCGCAAAACCTAAAATTTTTTTTGTAATGCAGCCTTCGAGAGGGTAGACACGCTGGAATACATTCTGTACACATAACTTGAGTAGACGCAAATGATTTTACGCTAATAAAAAATATATGTTACCAAACTAGCACACTCGTTGCACTCTGGGATTTTATCACTTGAACTGTTTTGTACGCATAATTTTAACTGCCAGATTAAACAATGGGCTCGAGGTTACTAACCAACTGCAAAAGTCAATAATATATATACAAAAAGTTTGGAAGTTTTGTAATTTTTTAGAGCTAATTCTTATTTTGTACAAATGTCTTTTCTGACTAATTCTCTTACAAACCTGGTGAATCGTTAAGGGCCTTGACTAGCTTAGGATAAAAGTAAAAGAAAATGGGGGGTAGCCTCCCTAAGAGAAGGTAACATGGAAGCCCCGTCCCAAAATCAAATGAGAAAGCTTACTACTATTTAAGTACTTGAGCCTGAGACGTTTAGCTTCACTAGTATTTCGCTCAGATAGCTATTACTCCCATTTGGTCTTGTGAGCTCTGGGTTACGTGAAGTTGCTTAACAATCATTTACTTTGCTAAACTTTTTTCTTTTACTAGCATAAGTAAACATAGTAATATTTTATATAACAAAAATATTATTAATACTATAAGGTATTATAAGTAAACAATAAATCTATAAATTATATAAAAAGGAATAGTAAACACTATTATTTGCTTATATTTTGAAGTTTACTTGACTATATTTAACTTTAAACAACTATTTTTATACCATTTTTTATGTTAAACAGTTTTATTTTCCCTAATTATTTTATATAAATCTTTGCTCTTCACATAAGTAACGTTAACTTTTTCTTAATTTTTTTGTAGGTTTTTTTTTACTTCGGTTGGCCGTTTATAGTAATGTCATTGAATCATCAAAAGGTAATAATTTTTTCTACATATTCACGTATACAATTTAATTTTTTTTGTAGTAGAAATTTTACAACAAAGGTCCGGTTTATTCTAATAGTAACTATTTTTATTTTAGTAGTTTACCTGGGCCTACTTTCCTTGTAACTATATTAATTCATATATTTTTTTGAGCGTAATATCATTTTTACTCTACGCTAATTAAATTAATTGAATAAAAGTTAACTTGGTGACGCATGAGATGTACACTCAATTTTACTTTAAAACATTTATCTATTTTTTAAATATAATAAGATCCGGACAGAAAGTTTTTAGACAATGTTATTTGCCCATTAAATAGCGCATATTTACATATAAAAAGTACTTTTCGAATCATCTACATTTACTTGAAAGTCAATCTTTTTAAAAAATTTAGAGTAAAATATAGTGGGATAACGTTAACAGTGTTGGCGTGCATTACTGTAAACATAGATAACACGAAAGCAGTCAGGAAGGACTCAGGAGCTGTAACATTTAATTAAAAAGATTTTGCTATTGTAAGAAAGGCGCTGTTTAAGTGAAAGCGATATTTATTGAATTTACGAAGCTGCGACCAAACCAGAATAGCACTTTTGTGCCTTAAAATCTTATTAGCATGCATCACTGGAAAGTGTAAATCCACTAACTTATGCCATACTGAAACTTACAAATTTCCCAGCTAAAGAATAAAAAAAAAAATGAAGTTATACTTTAAAAAAAATCTCCTGACATCGAGCTTGTGCCAACGCGCATGTCTTCTTATCACTACGTCAAGTGTAACATGCTTGCTTGGAGTATACTGAAGTGCGCTGAAGGCTTTTATACTTTTTTGTGTAAAGACCTTATTAATAGCGTTGAAGGTTAAAAAATAAATTTAGTCAGAATAACTATGAAACAGATTGAAATAGAGCCGAGCAACTTTATAATAAGAATCTCATATCAAGTAAAGAGGAAGAGCCAATTATCACCTTAATTAGTTTTGTTGCAGTTTATGTGAACTAGTAAAATTTGCATATGAAAAAATTAAAATATTCTTCAAGCTGAAGGACATGAATTTTTATATTTGTTATGTATTTAGAAAATATTAATCAGGGGGCCTTCGGGGTCCACGCGGTTGACCGTAAATACATTTCTAACGGTGAACGACTTGTATTCCAAAGTAAATTTTTGGTCTGATTTTTTTAATTGCCACACTCCCTTCTTCAATTAGCTCGAAGCCGAATTATTGGTATCCAAGGACAGCAACTGGTCGCTTCAGTGCGACTCAGTGGAATTACAACGTTCCGATCTTCTTTTGTCCAAAACAAATTTGAAGTATTATAATAATAAAGGTTTTTTATTTTTACTTTATTATAACATTCACAAAAGCAATGGTTCGGTGGTTTACATTAATATTAGTCCCGAACTCAAAACTAAAAGGCCTTCCGGTAAAGCTCTTTAGTAACATAAATCTTTTTAGTGTCGTTAATTTTGATAATATAGAAAATTTAATTTTATATTCTGATCCCTGCAGAAAAGAAATTTCGGATAAGTTGCAATTTCCAAACACTATTATTATAAAATGTATTACTATTATAGCACTTAGGGAAGTAGTGGAAGATCCCGTCGATGTTATTCTCTCCAACGAAGCTGGCCTTATTAAACGCTCTTATGATCCCTTAAAGTGTGTATTTTTCTATAAGCGAACGTTGTTAAGACTCTAACAATCGCCGGCTATCTAGATGCAAGCATTGTTTAAAGGACAAGTGTCTGCACTGCGTGGACTTAGAAGTGTGCTTTTCTTATTTGCTATTTTTTTAAAAAAAATAAATTTATACTTTTGTTAACGTTGCATTAATTATAATAAGCAATTCTTTTTTCTTGTTATATTTATTTCTCTTCTAAATGTTATTAATGCTTCTAAGCCATTTGACGAAGAATATCTTAAAGAAAAGAAAATAAAGTTTATGTCCTTTCAAACTTTCACGCGTTTCTTAAAAAAACGACAGTCGAACGACAAATGTTTTTCGTTGCCTCGTTGGCGCTTTACAGTTCGTTCAGGTCGCTCACTATTCTAAGTTTATTAACACGTAATTAGTCTACGACGGAGTGTACTTACTTTTTACTATTATTTTGTAAATTTTTTATACCTTTGTTCCTATTAAATTACTTTCTACTCTTTTTAAATAATTGTATTTAGTATAATTTTTCTAAATTTCATATTTCTTCGCTTTTTTTAATTTTATACTTAATATTTATTCTATTGATTCCCGCTAAGACTGCTCGCATCCGTCCTGGCCAAAAGGACTCTGCTCGCGCTGTCAACCAACCGCGTTAACTTTAAATTCTCAAGTATGTTACCTGCTCTGCCTCATGGCGCTCCACTTCCGGTTAATTGAATTCTTTAGCCATTTAGGCACGTGGACTACGTCGAGTTTGAGTCTCCGCAGGTTCTCGATATGTTTTTGGACTATTGGCGTTCTTCCGGCGGAAGACAGCGCTTTGGCTTTCTGATTGGTCAATATGAACCTTTTTATGATGTAATATTATATTATTTTTTTCTGAACTTTCCAATGTAAACTTTGATTTATCTTTTTTTTTGTTTGTTTTGCTTAAAATTAGGTCCCTCTTGGCGTGAAAGCCCGCGTGGCTGCCATATACGAGCCTCCGCAGGAAAGTGACGCTTTTACTTTGCAACTACTTGATGATCCGCAAGAAACTGTCCTCCACGGCCTTCTTTCACAACTCGGCCTCGCAGTGGTTTGTGGATATTATTATTTTCAATGCCACGTGTACTTGGTGCAACCAATGGAAGGAGGCATTTTTTTAATTAACTGTAAATGACCTAACCTATTCCTTACAACTTTATTGACCTTTAATAACTGGCCCGGCAGGTCGGATGCATTTTTACGGACCTTGAAAATGCGGGAGGGGGGTTGGTCAGGCACAAGAGACATAAAGTCATAATATTTTTTTATTATTATAAGTATTATTATTCTTTTCTTCAGGATACCTTTTTCTTGAGCTCTTTCGAGTGTATTCTTGCCGCTGAGTTTCAAAATAAATATAGGTCTCCTTGCAAGTTAGCTGAAGAAGGTTATTACGGGAGCAAGTTCGTAACTGTTGTTGTTTCCGGTATATTTAAATAATAATAATAATTATATTCATAATAATAATAATAATAATAATAATAATAATAATAAAGGAAATCAAGAAGGGCAGGTGGGCCTGGAAGCTTACCAGATATCGAATCAAGGCATGTCCTTGGTCTCTGCTGGACTTCTTCGGCCAACCACAGCGTTTGAGTGCGTCCGTGGTTTCTTACTGGCTACTATGTTTCCTATTGATCAGTGGGCAGCAAAGGCGCTGTGCAACCAGTGGACAGCAGCCAGTACGTTCCTGACGTCTTATACTCGTTTAAGGACGAATATGGAAATACCGTCCCTGGTAAGAACCTGGACTCGTTATTATTGTAGCAATTACGGTTGTTGCATACATGCTGCAGCCAGTGCCGACCCCTTCTTTCCCTTGGACTTTTTGTTGGTCAATGTACGTCTTTACAAGTGCTTCATTGGTCCACTGAATAAAATGAAGTGTTTTTTTCTTAAGGTTGGAGCTGGAGCACCTGTCGCTCAAGGCCCGGTCACTTTTGCCTCCTCAACGCCCGGAAACGTACTATTATTGGTGTAAACTAAAGTCCAGCGTTCTATTCTGGGGGTGCAGGGCGCATTTCCTATTGAAAACAGAGAGTTGCTGGGCACGCGACTGACGCTTGCCGGTATCCACAAATTATAAAAAGAAATATAAAAAGTATGAAGGGCTATTTACCAGCCGTTAAACAACACGTGGAGTCAAGCGCCACCCCTCTTTTGGCATTGAGCGATTTCCATTTGCTGCTGCATCTGGCCACTTCCGACGTCTATTCCCTTCAAGTGGTCCTCTCTTCTTTTCTTAATATATTCCATTGGCCAGAATTTATAGAAGCTTTTTTATATTGGCTCCATTAGTTATATATTTGGCATTTTGGTATTTCATGTCGTATTCGCCACACGAGCTTTAGCCATATTTGAAATATTAAAAAATGAGAGTCACGGAAACTGTACTATTTACCATTCGATAACTTGTTTATGAGTGTGAAAACTTCGTTTAAGTTTTAAGAGTTTAATTGTACTTAGAAAATTTAACTAATTTATATCGACAAAGGAAGCGATGAAAAGAAACTATCTAAAGGAAATTTATTATTTATTGTTCTTTTAACGCTCAATATATAGTTATGAAAAAAACGATTGGTGACACCAAAGATCGATTGTCAATAAAAAATTATTCAAAAAAATTTATCAAAATTACATGTACTAATATTTTTTAGCAGTAAACAAAAGTAAAAGCTTTAGCTCCTAAATCATATTAATATATACAAAGACGAAACTGGCCTGCATCGTCCGGGAAAAGAGCGCGGAGGGGGCGAGGGAGTGGATAAGCTCCAACGACTGGCTGAACATACTTGCGCTGGCCAGCGTTTCTGGTGACTTGCGCTGTGCTTGCGTTGTCCCACTGCTTATTATTGTTCGGATTTTATTTAGACGAAGAAGTTAACGATGGATTTGTTTGTAAGCTTTGTACTTTTAGGAACAGTAAAAAAACTGGTAACTTTCTTTATTGTGTTATTTTTTAAAAAAATCTTTGTTGCTTTTGTTATTTACGCAGGTGACTGTGAAGTATGTGGCATTCCCCATCACTAAATGATTTAATTTTTCGACTTGAATAAAAGTTGTTAAGACGGTTTTAAAAAACTAAATTTACTACTTTTAAATTGTGAAAAGCTCTATTATCTTTCCTTTGTTTATATTCCACTCTTTAATTGGAGGTAAGTAGCGACTCAAGTAAGTCTTAATTCCATAGGAACGAAAGCACTATGCGTAATCTATGAGGGTTTGTAGTTCTTAAAGTAGAGAATTTCTTTTCCTTGTTATTTCTGCCGTGTTTCCTGCATTGCCCTAAAAGCTGTTAGTGTCCAATATTTGAAGGTTTAGGAGATCTTATCGCAGCTGTTAGTATCCTAAAAAAGTTATTATTGAAAAACTTGTAGTTTGTTATTGTTATGAACAGAGCAATAGGCTCAAGGTGCGGTTGCATAACTAATAGTTCATTTAACTATAGTTTAGTATTGAAATAATTAAAAAGGCAAAACACTTTTTCTGCATATATAGATGTAAGGCTACGAAATTTCTTTTAACTTTTCAGAGTAAGTATCCCTTGCCAGTCGTTTACTAAAACAAAAATATTTGATATGTTAATTCCAGAGCAGAATCAACATAAATGTTAAAAAGATAGCTATTTTTTCATTGTTATTAAAAGCGCTTAACATTTAGGAGGGTTAAATATAATTCTTTACGCTTTGAGCAACATTAATTTTTACGAGCATTCCCGTAATTGACAGCAAACTAAGACCTGGAGACTTAATGATGTATAATAAAGAAACATCATTTGGCGCCAAGAGCTGAATTCTTGGAGGTCCAGCTAAGCTTTCGAGGGCTCCCGCATATAGTAGTTTAAAATTATTATTGTTCTTATTTATGTTAACGCATAACTGGGGAGAATGCACCGAAAACTTAAAAAAAAGAGACACCATGGACTATATTGATACCCTATAGTATATTTTATATTATTTTACGTTATATTTTCATCAAATTTAGTTCTACAAATAAGCACTAAATTATTCTCAAATGACCGTAACGCTCGGATGGGATTTACAATTAATTAAGCTTGAATATGAGCCCCTGAAAAACTTAAACACTTTTGCTCTGCCAAAAAATATTGCAGCTAATGTTATTTGATGTGTGGACAACAAACTAAAAGCTTGTTGGTATTCTAAATAGTGGACGGTTTCTGCAATTTCGGTTGTACTAGTCGAGCTCTTGGACTTTTCAGGCCCTAATATTCAGTATTTGCCGGGTGAAGGAACATAGGAAGTTTTAACGTTTCAGGAAAGTAGTAGCGATTAAGATAGGAGTTAAGATGGTGACAAAGTCGATCACGGTAGAAAACGTACGTTTAAGCAGATATGCGCAGCCCCCCCGCCCAAACCTGAGCTGCTCTCAGTTGGGGTAGTGAAGAACATGTCTTTACAATACCCCCGTCTGAACTAGGGGAGAGGGGTCGATCTTTAAGGAAAAGTGCTGTTGAATGCTAAAATTTGAACATCTTGTACTGTTTTTTAAAAATGTTTTAGGAGGTACACACAGCAGAGTGAGAGCCTAAAAGTTTATAAATATGTAAATTTTGTCATACCAAGATTGATTGTCGTCGTAGCTCAGCGGTTAGGGTATTAACTTGCAGAAGACACTTTGTTTTTGGGTCTTTGCGTGTATGAAATTGCGCCTTCACAGATTAGATTCTGATATTTTCAACGAAAGGTTAAGAATTGCAGATTTTAAATTAGAGTATATGGCCCAGTTGCAAGATTTTCTCTTAACCGTAAAGTTTTACATATTCGGCAGAACCCGCCCTAAATATTTTCTTAATGAAGGAGGGTTTCGTACAAATTTTTTTTTTTTGGAGTGAAGTATATTATAGTTTTTTTGTAGTATGCACTCCAGTAGTGGTTACAGAATTAAACGCTCTGATAATACTTTCTTTGAACTATAAAATTTCATCACCCAAAAAGATAATTTTCAAAAAAGTAAAAAACATTCCTAAAATTTCTATATATGTTCTACAAAACTCAACAGAGGTGAAACTTGCAACTATCGCAACGCTGTCTTGTTTTAATAGAAATGGGCTATGAATTAAAGATAATTTGTGAAGATTTCTTATGCGTAATTGGATATAAGATATAATAAACAACAACATGTAGGTTTTCTAGGCATTTACAGGGCGTAGGTTGAAGTGGTCAAGGACATTTTATGTAGGCTGCTTGCTATCCAGATTTTAATAAACGATTACTGAAATTCTACAGCTACATATATATTATAAAACTTTTTGCAGTACTGCTGGGAGAAGGAAAAAGGTTGGTGCAGTTTTTAATAACTAATGAGTGTGTTATTTCGAGCCGTTGTTAAAAAAGAATCAACGATTAGACACAAGGAAGGTAACCTAAAAAAAAAATTCAAATTCGAGGAAGAGTCGGAACTAGAACTTAAACAAGAAGCAAGATGGACAGAGAGAAAGAGCACCGTGTTAAAAATCTTCGATTCGGTCATTGGTCTTGTGGAATTTTTTGTAAAATACCTATTTGTATGCTAATAAAATAAACGATACTATAATAATATTTGTATTTTCCCTAACTTTTATAATTTTACAAGGTCGGAAAAAACAGCTATTTTCCAATTGAAAAAACAAGTTGAATGGTTAAACACAACCAGGTAAGACCCATACACCTGGGAACTTAACAGTTGTGCTATAAGTATTGCTGCACATTCACTCCTAAGGGAATGAACACTCTTTTTATAGGTTGTGTGCCTGCAAAAAATATTCGCCCTTTTTTGGTGTTTCCTGATTTTCACACTAAGCCGCTGTCTACAGTCTTCATATATCTTCTAATTTTTGTTTTTCTAATCAAATTTAACTCGCAGTCCCCGTATATTAACTGTATATTGTTTTGGCGACAATTTAGTTTTAAAAAAAAGATCACTTATTTGTTTGAATATAAATGCTAATAGCCTTTTTGTTTAAGAAGGCTAAAGTTAGGTGGTTTAATAAAGGTAATTTAGCGCCTTTAGCATTATCAGCATCTAGGTTATGGGAGGCTGTAATATCCATCAACGATTTGCACATAACTATTGAGGAGCTAACATACCTATACTGCTTTATTCCGCATATTTCTCAAGAATTCTTTTTATAGGGTTCTCGACTTGGAAGCACCACAAAGAATAGCGGACCAGTCAAGTTGTTACATGTCACCTTTAACTTTATTTTAACTCTATTCGACTCCTATTAGTCTATCTCTTTGTACAACACTATTATAAGCTGCTATAGTGTGTAATAAATATTTCTTTAATTTTTATAATACTGCGTCCAAGGAAGGGCTTGTGGTAAGCAAACAAGTAAATCCGTTTGGGGCTTAAAACCTAACACTTTGCTTGCTTGATTTATATATTATTTACATTGTCCAATTTATTGATAATAGTTTTGAATATTTTTCTTTCTAATTGTATTTCTCTGTTATAGAGTAGCTTTTTTTTATAAATCTTAATATGATAATATATATTACCTAAAGCTCTATTTTCATATTTGACGTAAAGTGTATTATCAATGTATATGAAATTTTTAATATTGCGCCCTTCGATATAATTAGGTAGGGAAAGTGCACCTTGCGAGGAGTACTAATGGTCCGAAGTAAGACCAAATCACTTCACCTAGAGCGTGGTTAGCACTGCTGTGACCGTATCACGTGCTTCTTTTATATTCTAATATGGAAATGCAATTACTCCTGTTTGGAGCTCATAGTATTTAAAGTCCGTAAAACCGAAAGTCCTTTACAAATAAATAAATAACTTAAACTTGCAAATGAAACTAAAAAAATATAATTTATAAAACTATAAGAAAATTATTGTATCATTTTTATTAGAAATTTATGGACAGGAACTAAAAAACGATAGCCTTCTTTAATAAAGCTTTTAAAAACTCTTCCTTCGGTGCGGATTACGCCTTATTACAATAGTAAATCTTACTTCTTGCTCTAAGTTAAATTTTATTAACATCTCTATCTTTATTAACTTTATATTAGGCACATTGCGTGTCTAATTGAAATGGTTCAACTAATTTTTCACGTTAAGTGCATGTCCACCTTTCATCGGCTTTAAGTTTCTTTATATCCAAGGGAAATATTTGGTTTAAATGATGTGCAGCTTTGGGTTTCCCCACATCAGTATATGTTTCTGAGGGCAGGAAGACCCACTAGGCTACGTGAATCCTTTTGATAGTTAGGGATTGTGCCAACCTCGCTTAATATATTTTTTATTATATAGTAAAGACAAACCTACTGGGTTACAATCGGGTAAATTATATGTTTAGGAACTGCGTAACATTTGTATTTATAAGAAAGTTAGGTGTATATATATGAATTTTTTTAGATAATATCTTTACCTATGTAAAGAGCTTTACCAGGTAAATAACTATGCCGAAATTATAATGTTACAATACTAGTACGCAGTTATTTTTTTGGTGATAATGATGTATTAAACATAATATTTAACTACAAAAAATTTATCTGCATAATATTAGGTTAACTGTTTTTCATGGTGGAATGGCAGAAGAAAAAAATGAAAGGGTCTCTCAAGGTAGCGCTAATATGAATAGTTGCTGTGAGGCGTTACGAAAGCAAATTTGCGAAATTGAAAAGGTATTACCTCTGAAATTTTACAGTTATTTTTTATCAAAATTTTTTGTTAAGTTTTTCTTTATCAAATAGCAAAATCAATCACTTAAACAAAAGATAAGAACAGCTAAAAAAACAATAACTCGACTGCGCTTAGAAAGAAGGTAATCTGGTACAATATATTATAAGACCAGTTGCTTTTAATATGGGAAAGTTTTCTTTTCGACAAACTGGAGCGAGTAGAATCTTTATCCACTCAAGAGGAGGTACCTTTTAGTGACGTGTGCCAAGACTCGTTTAAAACGGTGTCTTTGAATTTTATTCTTTTTTTATTTACTCCTGAATTTATTGTCTGCTTGTTAAGTAGCACTCTTTGGAAAAAGGGCGAGAAGTGGAAAAAAATGGGAGACTCCCCAGCCACAGCAAGAAAGCGCCTAATTTTAAAGCGAGACGTGATCCCAAAGGCCCTCGCCGCCCCTTAAGTGCCTTTTCATGGTTCTGCCAGCAACGATTCGCCGATTTGGGTTTATGAGCTTATAGCCTTATTAAGTATTTGCGCATCACTCGGCAATTTAACAATAGCGAACAATTTATCTACCCAAGAGGTGAACAATGCGCTGAGAACTTCTTGGAAGGACCTAGACTCTTCCGAAAAAGAAGTAACTTTAAGTTTATAATTATTGTTAAAAATTAACACTATAACGTCAATAAGAAATTTTTTCAACTTTATGAGCAAGACAAGAAAAGATTTGACAAAGAAATGTTGGATTGTGAGGAACAGTGAGAAATTCTCAAAATAAATTTTGAAAATACCAAAATTCAATACTACTTAGTTTGTAGGCATCAAAGGCGAGTGTACGATAAGCAAAGTCAAAAAGATAAACTAAAAAAAAACCTTTATTACCACTAATCGATTTTTTCCAAATAACATTAAAACATAGCGCTCAATTCAAATGGGGTAGTACTGCTTTCCTGGACAGAGAATATTAATAACGAAAAGATTTGTATACAATTATATCACCTTTTCTCGGTTTCTATGTGCTTCAAGCACCTTGTATGCATTATCAACTTGTTCTTTTAACGCTTCTGGAGATTCCAAAAGATGCAAAAGTTCTGTATTGTCCATGTCCAGAAGCATTCCAGTTATTTGCCTGGCATAGCCAGGGGAGCTTAACTGTGATACCAAGGGGTACAGCCGATCGCCAATAGACTGTTTTTGGGTAGTGGGAGAGTGTAAAGATAAATACTCCAGAGTCAACTCGGGAGTAGGTGGCGCCTTCTCATAAGCTCCGTTCGGAATTCTTTTAGGACTGGCAGCATTAGATACCGACTCCGTACTTTTGGAAGAAGGTATCTTGCTGGGGCGAGAGCGCTGCCCGAATCGAGAAGCGCGAGTTTGGTTTCGCGATCCTTTTAAGGGTTGCTGCTGAAACGACTGGTGGGCTGGAAGCACCAGACCATTTAGAGATGCGGGGCGCGGTGAAAGCACCCCCACAAAACCAGGAGGACTAACGTACTGGAAAGCTGGCTTTATCATTGGACCGCCCCAGCGAGGACTTTTGTAGGGTAAAGGTCCACCAATAATACCGGGTCTTGGCAATAGCGGGACGCCTTGTACGGGATAGACGGCCGCTGGGCTAGCCATGCGTAAGTTACCCTGCCGCTGCAGGTGCTGAATAGAGAGATGGGCAAGACGCTCCTCTTTTTTTTGAGCGAGGGCCACGTAGAGTGGTTTGCCATCCTTGTACAAGCCTTGAAGAGCTACTATAGCGCTCGCTGCTTCTTCCGGTTTGGAAAAGCAGACAAAACCAAAACAGCGCGAGCCTCCTTTGGAATCTTTCATAACCTTCGCACTAGTAATAACTCCGTACGGAGAAAAAAGCTCTTCCAGCTGGGTGTCGTCAACACTTTCGCTTAAATTCTTCACGTAAACGTTATTGCCTTGCACTTTAAGATTTCGCTCTTGTTCGTATTTCTGGCGTAAGATGGCTGTGCGTTCACGCTTCCTTTGAGCCCTACTCACCGCAACTTTAGCCCCGTCAATTTCTAATCCGGCAGAATCTTTTAAGGCTTTTTTAGCATCTTCGGGATCCTCAAAACAAACAAAACCAAACTTTTTCGAGCGACCTTCCTCATTTGTCATTACAACACAGCTGCCCACCATCCCAAACTTTTCAAATTCTTTTTTCAAACCTTCAGCAGTTATATGCTCGGGAATATTCTTAATATATAGATTATTAAATTTGGGTGGCTCATCTTCGGCTAAACCCCTTTCTTGCTTAGAAAGAAACGGTTCCACACAACTAACGAAGGCGCGAGTCTTAATAAATATGTATATGGGATAATTATATACAATATATTACACTTTCTGCCCATCCAAAATTTTTCCATTAACATTTTGTATAGCGGCTTTAGAGGCCTCTTCAGTTTCAAAATGCACGTAGCCAAAGCCACCAGATCCGTTTTCAAATTCAACCACTTTACAAGATAAGATGTTGCCAAACATACTAAAAGTGTCGGCTAACGCCTTATTATCGATATTTTTGCTCAGGTTCTTAACAAAAACATTCCCTCTCCCGGTCTTTCGGATAGTGGGATCCCGTTGAGACCACATGACCCGGCAAGGCCGCCCGTTAATGACTGTAAAATTCATAGTGTCTAATGCTCTCTCCGCTAAATATATGGATAGAAAAAAAAATAAATCAATATAATAAACTTTCGGTTAATAAATACCATCCACGGCATTCCGATAATTTACGTAGGCATAACCTAAAGAGCGCCTTGTGTTTAAATCACGACATACTCGAATGGAAGCAACAGGGCCAACAGCGTTAAAAATTTCATATAAGCGTGCCTCCGTTACAGACGGAGCCAAATCTCCAACGTATAAAGATGCGGGGCCAAAGGATGCAGAAGTCGTTTGCAAATTTAAGTCATCAGGTGCATGAGGCGAAGTTTGGGAATCCGAGACAGCAGATGGATAAGATTGAGTGGGACGCTCCTCCATTTTATAAAAACTTGGTAACAAAATTAGTGTAGGAAAATTTTAGAGAAATCAAAAACTTAAAGTAAAGTAAGAGTAGTTTATAAACTTTGGCAGAAAAATACATAGCTCGCCGTGAAAGGGGAAAATATAGCAACTCTACTTAAATTTAAAAGAATTATAATGCTGCACTAATACCATATCATAGTCATAGTCTATAAGTACAGAGTAACCCACACAATACAAGTAATAAATTAAATAAAAACGACTTTTCAAAGCCACAAGTAACAAAAACGGTAGTAAAGAAGGGCAAGAGAAACCGGCACCAAAAGCAGGGCAGCACGGGGAGCAGAACCTCCGCGAGGGAGGCTCATGATTGTTAAATCGAAAGAGGGTACCATGCTTTAAATTATTTTTATACCAAATTAGGAAAGCAGACACCACGTAGTTTCCTTTTCAGCGCAGCAACATTACCCACATGGAAAAGAAAAGACTAATCCGGACCCCCGTGGAATATAGTTTACAAAAGTAAACTTTAAATTCAAAGCGATGATATTTCTTTATAGCCTTAGTACTTTTAAATATGGTGCGCAAGTAAATTACAACGATGCACATGCTAATACCTATTTTACTTTCGAGCATTAAAAGCTCTGTAGGTATTGTAATACCTGAAATAAAATTTGTAAGATGGCTTCTTGCTAATAAAAATATGATCTTAGGCAATCTTTAAATGCCAGCTGTTCTTTAATGAGCACTCACCATTGATAAATTACACTTTAGATTGCATTTAGGAAACTTAAGTTACAAGAAATATTATAACACGAACAGTTTTTTCAAAGGAGTTTTTTGTAAAGTTAATTCAAAAATGGTAAAGGGAAAGTAACTGATTTTTTGTTTTACTTTAGTACAATGCCCTTTTTGATAATTTAATTTTTTGCGTGATTATATCGCCCTTTGTAAATATAAAAATTTATTTTTTTGCTAATGGGGCGCTAGTTATGCTGGGCAGATAGTTTATAATGCATAAAAGCAATATCAATAAAGATATCAATTTTGCAGCTATACTTTACGTCAGAGTTATATTTTTAAAGCCCATGTATATCCTATTACTCCTAATAAATTTTGCGTGTCGGTATTACCATATTATCAATAAAAAACTTATATAGATTTTTTTTTTTTAAAATCCCAGTTAACTTGCAAGAAAATTTTTTTTTTAATTTTTAAATAGAATGTTGTATGATGTATAATGGGCTGGTGACAACCTGTGAGTAAACATGTATGATTACAATACAAATCCTTATTATGGTGGCCTACTTTTATAATGGACTTATAACTGTAAATAATATTAGTGGTGGTGAGATAAGTATAAGCAACAGAAATATAAAAGCAGATTGATATCTCCTTAATTACTGTACAAAGTTACTAACGAAACTAAAACTGTTATGACTTAAACGTTATTAGGGCTTTATGAAATAAAAGAAGTACGCTAAATACAAGCGAAAAAGTAAATAAGTGTAAAATAGGCTATTAAGAACAACTTAAATTTTAATCGAAATAATAATATATGTAAAAGAGAAGGAATTAGCCAAACAAAACTAAGAAGGAAACTTCTAAAACAAGAAGGGTATAACCAGAACCGAGATCATATAAAAAAAGACGCTAGACAAGGCTGACTAGAAAAATTTAATAGTTGAGCTCTCTTCCAGGCGCAAGCCTTTTACCAAGAAGTCGACCCCAAGCAGGTGCACGCAGTCTTTTTCAAATAAGTTCTTCGTCGGCGGATTACCAATTAGATTCCTTAGGACATACGTATAAAATGTAAAGAAAATAGTTTTAAATTTTTACTATGGCCGATCCCAGAGAGGTAGTTTTGGAGTTGAAACTTTTACCTACACCCAAAATAATAAAACATGTTAAAGTAGCTGGTAGAAATGCACAAAACTTTATTGGAGCTTGACTCATTACAATGCGGTGCGTCTGCCCTTTTTCAGGCTTGAAAGCTATATAAAATGCAGGGATACTCCGGATTTGGCATACCATCGGATTCGTAAGTATGATTGCGAATATGCTTAGAACTTTATAATCAGGAGACTACAAACTCTTAAGTATGAGATATTTCTTTGGTGTTATTCTGTCGTCTCCTTAGACCCCTCAAATATTGACAAAGCCACAGGGTGAGGTTAACTGTTGAAACGAACTCCTACACTGCAGAAGAAAAAGGGCTGCACTGATGAAGCTGAAGTAGGGTACGATTGTCTTTATTTAAGTTGATATATATTATGGTTATCCAGAAAAGAGATAGGAATTTAAGTTAGTTTTTAGCACTGAACAAGAAATCTAAGTCTTGACTTGGAATGCAGCATTATTATCTCTAGTGAATAATCAACGAAAGAAATTTTAGAGAAAAAAATATACGAGTGGATTGATGAAAAATGCTATTTTAAGTCTTCGGGAATAGCAGAACTTAGAACCTGGAATAGGCGTAATTTAGGTCACTGAGGCTAAGCAATGGAATCCTATATAGCAAATAATAGGCAAAGTTCGGTGCTTTACGTATAACAAAAGAATGAAATGTACTTGGGATAATTTACCCTTAATTTTATGGATAATTTGACTCGATGAGGCATGCACACACTGGAGGTCAAACTGGATGGGACAACAGCATCGACTTCTTGCTA